TCCCCACTTCAACATCTCTTTCTTTGACATTGACAATAACACTTTGACTGTTTGTTTGAGTTGGTGAATTTAACTTCACATCTGCCACCGCATTAAACCTTTTAAACACTTACGCTTCTATTTTTCGGAAATGACATTTTACTTCGAATAAAAATATGGACGTATTTGAGTATCTCTTCGAATTGAAGCAGAACAAAGTTTACACACACAAACAATACAATACATTGACAGAATAGTTCTTTACACAAACAATGGAAAATGTTATAGAATAGCAGTCTTTGCTGAACCAAATATTTTCATAAAGCAAAGAAAGTTGGTATAACTGAAATGGTGAAAGTTCTTGAAGCAGACAAAAATATAACTTCAAAACTTACAGATATTTCTAAAGGTAAGTTTATAATACAATTTTATGTCAAAACTGGCGTACTGTCAATATTTGATGGAGAGAAGTCAGTTCAAGAACAACTTACTGACCTGCTGCCAAAATCTGCTCGATGGAAGCTGTCGTTATGCCAATCTGAGGAGCCCCAGCAGGTTTCATCGAACGAATCTTCAAAAGAGCATCTTCCGTGAAAAGTGCTATTGGTTTTGTAAACTTCTTTGCTTTCAATTCATCTGGACCGTCTCTGTCACCAGTATATTGTATTTGTACAGTACCAACAGTTGAAATACACATAAAGTCTTCTGAGTCAGCAAATGGAATGCCAAGCCAAAAGTTTGAACGGTCTCCATTTGTATATTGAGTTTTTGACCTCCTGTATGAGTCCATACTTTCACATATGGCATAATAGAACTTTGCATTTCAGGGTTAATGGTTGTTGTGAAGTTGTTGTTAAAGTTTCATAGCATCTAATGTCAAGTTGTATGACCTCATATCCTCAACTGTAGAATATTCTTTCTCTTGGATAATATTTGCCATCTATGTTTATATGATATTTAATACCGGGGTTGTAGAAACAAGAATAGTCATTTATAGTTCGTCTGAACAGTACAAACATAGTATCTGCATGTTTCATTGCAGTTGTTAAAGCAATATCTGTTCTTGCACTGGGTCAGCACTTTGGTTTCCAACTTCACCTGCAAAGTCTTTGACAGATATTTGGTGTATAGGGAACATAAGTGGAACTGCAATATATTTGGCAGCTAAAGCATTTGAAATATCTGGGTCCAACATATAGACTGCAAGTCTGCTTTCTATTCTCTTGCATTCAAATTTTTCGCATGTGAAACTTAACTGGGTCCCAAGCAGTTCCAGCAGCATTGAAATAATAGTTTACTTCAGTGTTTGAAGTTTGAGAACCAAAGTCTAAGTCAACTTTGTCTTTGCAAAAGTCACAGAACTTGGCTTCCACCAGTTCCAGCTACAGTAAGAGTGAATGGGTCTTGTGTTGGTGCAATGACTAAGTTTTTTTGCTTGGAGTAAGTTCGATAGAAATTTTTCCTGCCCAGTTTGGCAAGTATCTTAAAAACCTGAAGATGAGGAAAGATGACAAAGGAACTCTAAGTTTTCAGTTTACTTTGGTTACTGCTGCTGCAGTTTGTCCAGAAAGGTCAACATAAACTCCTGGAACGTTAGGGTCAAGTCTTCTTTTTTCTCAATATTTGCATACTGGTCTGTTTGTTCTCTAGCTTGTGGTTGTACTGAGTTTCTCAAAGCGAACCATTCATAGTTTGCCCATGTTACTGTTTGAACTAAGTCAGAGTTAGAATATATCTTATATCCCATGAAAACTTCTGGAGCATATTGGTATCCGACATAGAAAATTCCATTGCAACCTTTTTGTCAGACAACTTGGCAGAAGGTTTTATTTCAATGTCTTTGTTCCACGTATAAGAATGAGTTGTCAATAGAAATAATATGAAACCTGTCGCAAGCAATATCTACTGTTGTTGAAGAACCTTCTCCAACTCACCTACATTTCCATAAGAAACAGCAGTTGTATATTCGTAAGTTCCAGGAACTATTTCTGACCTTCTAATGGCATTGTCGCATTCGTTATACCATTCGAAACATTTCCATTCATGGCATCCAAAACTGTTGGCGTTATATTCTGAGCGGCGTACATTTCATATGGGTAAAAATATAGAATAGTTGAATTTATATGTCATAATAGAACCCACGTGACCAAGCTTTACTTTCTTCCTGGCTGAGTTTTTAACTCTTCTTTTTCCTTCATTGCCACTACTTTCACTAGATGAAGTTACTTCTTCACTACTTTCACTTTGTTCTACTCTTCTCTTCTTCTTTGGTGTCGCTTTTGGTAACTTGCCTCTGCTTCAAGTTGTTGCATCTTTGCCTCATGTTCACCTAGTATGTTGTAATTTCCCATGTCCTTTTTGCCTTTGGGCTCTGGTCGCCCATCTCAGGTAACCTATATCCTAGAAAATTTTGTCATAGTTTGTATTTGAGTCTTCGCGTATTGTTTGCATGACTCTTTCCTGAGTTTCCGGTTCAAGCTCTTCAAACAGAGCTTGTCCATATGGAATAAGCTCGTTTCCAAATATATGTTTTGTAGCCATTCTGGTTTTCTTTCCATGTTACCAACAATCTTTTGTGAATGGGAAAGCTTTTACCCAATGTTTCAGTCTTGCGTCATTTATTTCTGTAGTTGGTTTTATTTTGTCAAGGAACATGTTTTTCATACTAACATTTCATTTGGTACTGTCCGTTTGAGTTTTCTTAAATATTCATCCCTTCTCGGTTCATTGTCTGCAAAGTAAGTTTTTATGACATTTTGTAAACTTTCGTTTGCAAGGTCATGTACAATAGGTTCTCTTCTTCTCTCTCCCTAACTTTCTTTCTAAACTCTTCACCAAATATACCATCTTATGGTTCTGTGTAGTTCTTTGAGATAAATGTTCTAGAACGTCAGGTGTTATATTCCATCGCCATGTTCATTTCATACTGGTCCAAAATATCTGCATCTTTCATATCTTTCATGGCATTAAAGCCGCGCTGAAAATACCAGCTATATCTGGTTCACCATTGACTTCCATTGCGTCTACAACTTCTTGGAATTGTGGTTGTAAGTTTATGAACCACCTATCGGGTTAGCTTTATGACCCCATCTCATTGTAGTTCATAGTCTGCAGAAACAAAAGTAGGTTTGTTTTCCATATTGGTTAGGTTCTGAATGAACTTTAAACAATGTTTCATTTTATATGTTTTGTTGAAATTTAACCTTTTATTTTCACCGAGTTCAGCCAAAGATTGAACGTTATATGGTCGTAAGTAAAAAGGGTGTTTATTTGTGTACATTTTCTTTCAGTACTTCCATTCTATGCTGAATATTTTCATCTGGTGTTGGAGTCTTTTGTATGTCGGCAACATTTTTCGATATTCTTCTACTATGTCAGCCGAATTTTTCTTAGACTCTTGGAAAGATTCCATATTCACCTCATACTCTTGTTGAGGGTCAAGATTTTTCGGCTGTTCCAAATCTTCATCTAGTTCTGTGAAGTTAGTTTCCAAAGGAGGGACTTGTTCGTTTCCTTCAGGCTCTTCTAGCTGTTGTTGCTGAACTATTCTTCCATGTCTGGTTGTATCTGAACTTCTTCTGTGGAGTTTTCTTGTACCTCATCTGCTGGCATTTCATATATTCCGAGACCGTTTTTAACAAGTTCCCTATCTAAGTCATCCGGACTCATAAACCTTTCTTCTTTCGTTCCGTCTCTATTTTTTACGCGTTTCATGAAGAGAGTTGAATTGTCATTTAGCTCTGACACCAAATATCTCGAGTAAATTCAGTCATGTCATTTGGATGAAATGCTATTAAATCATATCCCTTAGCGAGCTTGTATTTTCCAGGTTTGAAATTATATCCCATTTGGTGCTGAGCCATAAAGCTAAATAGGTTCGGGTCAGTATTTCCTTCCTTGAACTTTCTAATAGCTTCTTTATATCTGTCACTAAAGTCAAGAGTAGCTGGGTAACCATAATCTTCCTTTAGCATTTTTAAGAATTCTTGGTTTCCTTGTTCTCTACTTCTTTTATGTGCAGGGTTTTGAACTGTTGGTTGCTGTGCTGGTTGTGGAGGTGGTTGTTGTGCTGGTTGTTGTTGTTGTGCTGGATTTGGTGCATGCCTGTGTCTGTGTCCATGTGACGATGTAAATGTTTTAGGTAGTCCTGGTGCAGGTGCTTCTCTTGGAGGGTTTGGTGGTATATAGGTTCCACTAGCTAGTATATAAGTTCCACCAGCTGGCACATATGTTCCATCTGCAGCATAGTGTCCTACCTGACTTTTCATTTTTAAGAAAGCATTTACTAGGTCTGTTTTGGTCTGTTGTAACTCTTTTTCTTGACTTTCCACAACAGCTGCTCTAACGGCGTCATAGGCACTTTGAACTGCCTGTCTCGTTGCTGCATCTGTTATTTTCGTCATATTTTGTGCTACTTCTCTTAACTCTTTGTCGAAACCTTCAGACTTCAGTTTCTTTCCAGATGAGAAGTCGTTCACTAGTTTCACCTTACTATGAAGAGCTTCGAAGGCGTTCTTAAAGTCAGCATTTGTTAAAGCTTCATTTGAACTGTCTTCATCCGCTTGTATTTTTGTCCTTATTGACCCTATAAGTTGGGCTGCTTTAGCGTTGGCTTGGGTATCTAACCAGTCATTGTTAGCTTTTATATATTCTGCGCTTTTCATTGCCTTTTGCATGGCTGCGTCGTTATTTTTACTTTCTTGTGCTAAGTTTTCATACTGTACGGTTTGGTTTTGCAACTGTAAAAGTTTTTCTGCCTTTACATTTGCTTCAACTTCTTTTTTATACTCATCGCTATCCATATATGTCTTCAGGGCTTTTTGTTTTATCTCTTCATCTTTCAGTACTTTATATTGAGTAGTATGGTTTTTCAAATTTACAACATCTTGTTCCATTTTTGCTACTTCTGCTGCTTTTTCTGACACTTTTTTCGCATATTCCTCTGTACTTAGTTCTTTCAGTTGTTCTTCTTTCTTCTTTTTCTCTACGTTTAACTCATTGAGTTTCTTTGTGTGTCTGTCTTATTCTAGTTTCTTTTCGTTTTCACTTATTTGTTTCTGTATGTCTATGTTTGACTTTTTGACATCTGTTATTTGATTTTTGAGTGAACTCAAATTCATTTGACTTTGAGGGTTATAAGCTGTTCCGTCTGCAGCTCCACCATAGCCTGCCATTTTCGCTAAAAGTGCCGCTCTTAAACCCCCACTCTGTGCACCAATAACTCGGTTTAAAAGCATAGGGTTGCTTGACATTTGTTGCAACATAGTGGGGTCATTCATTATTTGTTGTTGCAACTGTTGTTGTGGTGTCAGTTTTACTATTGGATGTTTCAATGCTCTCTTCCTCTTACGTATATTCTTACGTAGCTTACGTGGCATTTTAAGTGAAGTAAAAAACGGTTTTTGACAGATGTTTATATGACACTTTTTGTTCAGCACAAAAAACTACTCGGTCAAAGTGTTGTCAGTTTTGTAAAATAACCGTCCTATCTTGTTTTAAAATGGAGAAAAGGCTTCTCAAAGTATACTTCCTTGGAACGCCCGTAACTTTTCCTGTAGCGACGATAGACCCTTACTTGTCCGGACAAAGTTATACTAAACATCTTCAGGGCTAGAGGGCACGAAGTGCCTGGAGGCCCCACTACCTTTTTTTTTTTTCAATCAAATTTGATGGCTTGCGCGAGTGTTATTGCAGGTCAATTATTTTTCAGAATAATATGATTGAAACGCCAAATTATCAAATACTTTTTTATAGTGTTGCAGTAATTAAATTGCCAAAAACTCTCAGAATTGTACGATCAAATACTTTTGCATATTATAGTGGAAAATACATTGAATTTTATTCTGATATAGAAAGGATTGAAAGCAAAAGTTTTGAAAATTGTGTTAATTTACAAGAGATTAAGTTTCATAAATTAAAAAATAGTTTGATAATCGAATCGAATTCTTTCAAGAATTGTGAGAAATTGAAATATTTGATATTCCCAATCGAGAGTAGTGATATCATCACATTCAATTCGACATGTCTGATCGAATGTTATTCATTCATCGGTGTTAAATTTTACATGACTATTCCACGGAATATCAAGAAATTTAATGTTAGTACTAAATCTCTGGACATTGATGTTAGCACCACAAACACTCAAGGTGATCCAATCAATTGTGGGAAATTCCAACTTAAACATCCATTTGACGAAAAATGCAACATTCCAATTCATTCATGCAATCGATTCTCATTATCATTCAACATACCAAATATTTATGTCTTTATTTGTATCTATATTAAATAAAAACATAATCGATAAGGCTTCACACCAACATTTTTTATGGACTCGAAAATTCCTTTTTTCAAAGATTAAATATTGCTTTCTTCACTATAGGCACAAATCTATATTTATATATGCTGCTATAGACAATCTCCTCTTAAGAACTTGGGATAGCATGAGGGACTGAAAAACAAAGTATTCTACAAATCGAATACTCTCTCAACATTGAAAGGACCTGCCAGTCGAGCCTTAATGTTTAAATCCAAATGTTGAATGTGTTTTATATTTGAAATACTTGATAATTGCATTTATTATATAGAAGTTTCATGCTTGGGTTAGCATAGTATTATTGCAACCTTATATCAATTTGGGTTAAATTATAGTGCCGATTGATCCATTTAAATCTCCGAAAATTCAATGATCAATTAATTTCAAAATCAAATCAGGTTCAAAATTCGATTCCAAGAGGTTGGTTTTGTTTCTAATCCTAAGAGATATTATAAGCAATTATAAAAAGTATGACATGAAAAGATTTTCGAAATGCTGGACAGCTTGTATACCAAAATGTATTTTTACTGTATTTATATAAGTAAGCATTTTTTAACTTTATTTTAAAAATTCTTTAGGTATATCGTTTACCGCAATTCAAATAGTGTATTTACTTCAAAGATGCAAATATCGCATTGGTGTATAATGCTATTGATATTTTCTATGCAAAGTGAGTTGCGGTAAAAAATGTGGTCATACCACCATTCAATTTATGGATAACGTACTCAATTTGCGGCTAAACCCCTCAATTTGCGGTAAAAATGAGGTAAAAGTCTCTCAATCTATGGAAAGCTTGCGGTAAAAAATATAAATTTAGCTATTTTCCTATAATTTTGATTCCACATCCAACAACTCCCAAAACGAAAGGCATTTGCAACGATAATTCCTTGAAAAAAATTCAAAAAAAAATTTCAAAAACGAAAAAACGAAATTTATTCCATATATTTTTTATTCCGAAATTTCTAAAAAGTTTACCATTGCAGCGGATTCCATGCGAACTTACCACCGGTTACCGTATGGACAGGCATAGTTATATCTCAAAATTCTTTTTGATTACAAACTATGATGGTAAATTTTTATAAAAAGTGACAAATTTTGATGAGTGATTTTAAATTTGTTGTTAATTCTCAGTATTGCAGAAACTCGTCTTTAGTTAAATATGGAAGCGATTTTTGTTTCATAATCAATGGCCATCGATTTTATACAACACAGTCACACGCAGCTGTTCTAAGTGAAACAGTCCGAAACATCTTGATTACAGACAACAGTGCACAAGAAATTAATATTGATATTAACATTAATAATAACAATCAAAATACAAATATAGAATCATTTAAGAAAGCAATAAACATTTTTTCGAAGTTTGTTCAAGAAGGATATTTTTCAGGAAACATCGACATCGAAACAAGTGAAATTATTTATGATCTCGGTGTTCTTCTCAAGAATGAAGATTTTATTTCACAATACAAATTTATTATTTCATCAATATTTATCAGTGAATCAAACATCGAATCATTCATTCGATACAGTCTTAAGACCCGTGATTTCAAGAAAACATGTTCATTCATCGCATCTCATATCTCTCTTATTGGACCTTCAAAACTTTGTCTTCTTATTGAATCCGTATATCATTCTATTGAATCATTATATTTTAACGAAAACATCGATGATATTTTTGTTGATTTTATTTCATGTATTTTGAGTGATGAACATGTTTTTGTCTACAAAGAAGATGATATCTGTGATTTTGTTATTTCATTCATCAAAACATTTTCACCTTTATTATCATTTTCAGAAATATCAAAATGCGACAAACTGATCAAATTCATAAGATTCGAATTCTGCACCAATGAAATAATTTCTTGTTTCATCAGCTTTTATTCTTCAATTATCAACTCTTTTGATAAAAAAATCACAAAAGAAAATAAATCAGATAACATTATCCAAAACGAAAATGAAATCTTCACTCATTTATTTCAAACATTATTGGTAACATCAAAGATAACAGACATAAAACAATTGGATAAAATTTCAACTACAAATGAAAATATAAGATTGATTAAAAATTATTGGGCCCACGATAATATAGGGTGTCCAAAGGTGCGTTTAGCACAGCGCTCTATATGAGACTATTAAAGGAGATATATGCTGATTATAAATATATAATAAAAAATATGAATATATGTATATGATGAGTATGTTGTATTTTGGCGCCATGCCGGGATATAAAATGAATTTTGAGACAAGAGGCGGTTTCGCGGGAAATTTTGGCGGGATTTTTTCATTTTTTTAATGAATCATAAAGAAAACATCCTCGCTCTTGCAAAAAAATGCAAAGACTGTAAAAAAATCTACAAGACATTGGTAAAATGCTTCGGTATGGATGCTCCTAGCTATTCCACTGTAACGTATCATGTTAGGATGTATCACTTCATGAACAAAAAGGCGCCCATCATAAAAATTGACAAAAAATCGCCGGATCAAAGAAAAATCAAAGCAATTCTTCAAGCGCTAGATGAAGACCCAAGAGCATCACTCAGAAGGATAGAGGAGATGACAAAGATACCACGTACAACAGTCAGTTATTATCTGCACAATTATTTGAACTACAAACTAGCGTATACACGTTGGGTTCCGCACAACCTTAATTCAGTTCAAAAAAAATCTAGAGTCCAATCTTCGAAAGAGCTCCTCTCTATATTGGGTGCGTATCAATCCAAGAAGTTTCGCTTTTTAGTAACAGGGGACGAGTCTTGGTTTCAATATGCAACAGCAGCCAAAATCATGTGGATCCCGAAGGATGAAAATCCGCAAACATTCCCGAAGAAAAAAATTGACACACCAATGATGATGTTGTCGGTTTTTTGGGGCGTGAATGGCATCATCGCAATTGATATTCTTCAAAAACCTAATACGATGAATGCTCAGTATCTAATTGACAATGTTCTTACTCAAATTATCAATTCTGATGAGTTTGAGAAATCCAAACAACAAAAACAAAAGTTTGCAATTCATTTTGATAATTCAAGAGTTCACAAAAGTCATAAGGTAATGAATTACTTGGTGGAAAACAATGTCAAAGTTGTTCCAAACCCAATTTATTCACCTGATATTGCACCCTCTGACTTTTATTTATTCGGCACGCTAAAAAAGAGAGCTGAAGGACGCGAATTCGCGAGTCCAGATGATCTTGAAAATTTTGTAAGAGAGCAATTTGAGCAATTTTCTCATGATGATTTAAAGCGTGTCTTTCAAGCCTGGATCGATCGCTGCGAACGCGTGATTGAATCCAATGGTGATTATATTTAAATAAACTTTATATATATGTAACTTGTTTATTTCTATTCGCAGTATTCAGGTTTGTGCTAAACACACCTTTGGACACCCTATATCTCAGATCTTTATCATACATTTGCAAAATGCAGTCAAGAACGAGATATTTATTCAATTAAATTTGCCGTTGATCATAGATATCATGAAATTACCGCTCGAATTTATTCATCAATAATTCATGATGCCGCTCAATTAAATAATTTATCTCTTGTTCAAGATCTTATTTCATGTGGTGTTGACCCTAATATGAGAAATGATTATCGAGCCACACCTCTCCATATTGCTTGTCGCTATCATTCAAATAATGTCGTCAAATTCCTTTTGACATTATATGAAATTGATATTAATGCACAAAATATTTATGGAAATACTCCTCTTCATGAAGCATCCAGAAACAATAATCGAGAAATTGTTAAAGATCTCTTAGGACTTAGATGTATTAACACCACAATAGAAAATAAAGATGGTAGTACTGCTTATTATATGACTGACGATTCAAAAATTCATAATCTTCTTGATGAATTGATGAATAAATGATTTATATATTTGAAACTATAATGTTTTATAATACTTCACATGGTATGCTTGTAAAATGAATATAAATATCATAAAAGTATTCATAATCTTCTTTTTTACACATTTAAGTAATCGATAAAAAATTTTAGGGTACACTTTACATGAAGAAACATAACAAAAAAGTAACAAAATCCAAATCGTAGTGGAGATTCATTGTCAACAAATAATTTAATCGTCACCTCTTCCAGTGGGGGTCATAACCGGAACTATGAGCCATATATAATTTAAATCAAAAATGAGCGTATGAATGATTATTTGAGTCAATTAAGGGTGCGCTGGAGACAATATGTCACCCTCAGAAAAGCACTTTTAAGGTTATTATATTGGATGCTTCGAAACTTTCCATTCCACACATTGTAGCATGATTAAGGTTAATTTTGGGTAGTTTACCTATCGTAACCTGGACACCCTTAAAAAATAATCATAAACGTAACAAGAGCTTTGAAATGAGGGATGTATTCATTCAAATATATGATGATTACGATGATCAAACACTTATTATATATAATCATAGGTCATTTATAATATATTAACGAGTTTGTGAATAAATTAGAGATAAATTGAGAGTACGGGACAAATTGTGATTTCTCTGATTCAAATTTTCAATATTCAAAAATTTCAATGCTTCATATTCTATAGTATTTGATATTTTTATGGATATTTGTATTATTATTGCTTATTGAATTCAAGTATGAAGATGAATTAAATACTATACTAATTGATGTTACTCCTAACGAAACAATTATCATTCCGAAGAATGTTGTCAGAATTAAAGATAGTACAGTTGTTGATCGAAGAGTTACAGTTCGTCCACTTGAATCACTTAGATATGTTTTAAAATATTTGAGTTTTGAAGAAGAAACATTAATAGAAGATCTCGGAATCGGCACATTTTCATCTTTCACTCAGCTTATAATTGCTAATTTAAGCATGTGTAATCATCTCAAACTTATAAATAGCGGTGCTTTTAAAAATTCTAATCTAAATGAAGTATTACTTCCTATGAATGGAGAGTTACAAAGTATAAAATCTGGGGCGTTCTTTAGAACAAAACTTAGAAATATCTCCATTCCAGACTCTGTTATACAGATATCTGGATATTACAATGATCCAGTTACTGGTGGCCCATTTGGTGGGTGTCCATTATTAACTACGATATCTATATCCGAGAATTATAGTTCATTTTATTGGGTTTCTTGTTCATTTACTGATATTTTTTCCTTTTATCCAAATTGTTCCATTATAGAATATGAAGCTTTCAGAGGATACTCAACAAAGCATGATCTTATTATTTCTCCAAACATCAAAAAATTGATATCGGAAGTTTCCGTGAATTTTATTGCAAATCTATTATTTTCCAGAATTATATGATTCAAACCCCGAATAGCGAATTATTCTATAGAAGCAATATACCAGCTATATTTATGCCATCAACCCTAAAGGTAGTTCGATCAAATACATTTGCATATTATGGTGGAAAATACATTGAATTTTATTCTGATATAGAAAGGATTGAAAGCAAAAGTTTTGAAAATTGTGTTAATTTACAAGAGATTAAGTTTCATAAATTAAAAAATAGTTTGATAATCGAATCGAATTCTTTCAAGAATTGTGAGAAATTGAAATATTTGATATTCCCAATCGAGAGTAGTGATATCATCACATTCAATTCGACATGTCTGATCGAATGTTATTCATTCATCGGTGTTAAATTTTACATGACTATTCCACGGAATATCAAGAAATTTAATGTTAGTACTAAATCTCTGGACATTGATGTTAGCACCACAAACACTCAAGGTGATCTAATCAATTGTGGGAAATTCCAACTTAAACATCCATTTGACGAGAAATGCAACATTCCAATTCATTCATGCAATCGATTCTCATTATCATTCAACATACCAGACATTTATATCTTTATTTGCATTATCATTGAATAAACATAATAAACAGTAAATAATTATCTTCTGGTGTTATAGATGATATTATCACCACCTAATTCTTCTTATAATTTCAGAATGTGTGAATTTCAAATATCAATTGCTAGCAATTTAGAAAACTATTCATAAGAAGACGCCATCAAAAATATATTATAGAAGTTTTATTTTAATGATTAAATTGGAAAATTGATAATTCAATTTTCTTTCTTAATAACCATATCTGGTAGGCAAATAAATTTCATTTTTGAAAGAAACAGAAAAATAAAATTTTATTATTCAATATATCAAAAAAATTACAAATCAATTCTTTCTTCACGACCTTGTGTAGCAGGAGTAGATCCTCTAGACTGGTTAAAATAGAAATGATCATGGAACTGTTCGTATAATGAAAACAACATGTGCAAAGACTCAATAATATTACCTCTCACTGGTATATCGAGCATTACACATATGATTTTTGCGTATTCTTCGATCGTAAGATCCATATTTGCATCTGGTAACGGAATATTTTTCAAAACATCTTCCATTTCTTCTGGGAATTCCTGGAGAAGTGCTTCGAAATTGGGCATAGTTGACGAATATGTCATTGTTGGTGGTGGTCTGTTACGATTTATCTCTTCATACGACTCTAAGAAAACATCTAAAGCTTTTTGATTATTTTCTAGGTCCTGAATGCTACCAATGTATCCATCTGATTCCTGATTTCCGACGATTCCGTATTTCTCTCTAAGTTGCATATTCAAAATTTGTGGATCTGAGCAGCCAATTGTTGGCTCATCGAGAACTGTAAGACCCAATGGATCAGCTTCATCGTCTGGCCTAGGTACTTTGATAAAAGCATCGATTGCACCGATGGAAGGTATCAAATCTGGAATAAATGGCTTCCAAAATGGTACCATTGGTATATCTGCAGGCTGGTATTCAGTTATTAAACTAAAAATTTGTGCAAGCTCTGGTGTATTTTCCATTTCTCTTGAATTAAAAGCATCTGGTCTCGGAGAGTAACCAGTCAATCCTTGATTTGCTCCACCATCGTCTCCAAACTTTAATTCGAATCCAGCAAGTGGATTATTTCTGTTTATGCCATTAACTGTAAAAGTGGCAGGATCTTCATCTCCATTTGGCCGTGGGCTGTATCCAGTTGGCATTCCTGGAGAGTTTGCTGGTTCATCATCATCAGATTTAAAGTGTCCAAATCCACTCATATAAAAATTAATAAAAAAATCAAACGAGCAGAAAAAAGTGTCAAGAGATAATTATTTACAATTTCAGAAATCAAAAGTTGGCCAAATTGAATAAACATCAATCTTCGCAGGTATCAATCTTATTTTATTCAAAAATTTTGTCGGAAATCGCTTTCCGGAAAAAGTTGTCCAATTTTGTTTTCAGGTTTTATACACTCGAGAGCATTTATAAATATGAAGCCCATAAGTTATATCCATTTCATAGTACAAAGCATTAATAAATGCCAGTTATTTCCATAAGGATGAAATTTTCGGAAATGCGCAAAACCCTATATCCTAATTATGCAGTGAATATTCAAATATATGCCCATGAGAACTTACATTTCTAAGGAAATAATCAAAAGACAAAAATTCAAAAAAATATAAAAATAATTATTCAGAAAAAAACTATTAAAAAACATAAATTATTTGACTCTATACAACAATAACTTTACAAGATAATATGAACTATCATTCTTTTTGATCATTCGCATTTTCAGGTTCTGAACCAGAATCGCTTGTATCCATTTCGCCATCCTGACCTATCTCCTGCTCGGCATCATCAGATTTGTCCTCTTCGTAGTCATCCGATGAGTAATAATCGTAATCGTAAGAATCAGTGGATTCTTCCTCTTCAAAGTTCTCAGAACCTGGGCTGATGAGTGAACCACCGTATTCGCTCTCTATAATCCTAAGAAGAGGAACAATATTCGCTCCGACGAAATTTTCCCATTTTTCGAACTGCAAAGCTGAGCATTCCGTGGTTAATCTGGCTAAAACAAGGGATATTTGAACCATATGTGAACACCATTGAGGAGTTCCGTAAGTAGACATTAATTGTTCCAAAAAATCAGTTTCTTCAACAAGGGAATTGATTTCTTGGAACGACAATCGCATTATTAGCTGGGAACAGTAACTGTGGAGGTTCAAATGGGCGTTAGGTAAGAAGTAAAGTTGGAATATATCTAAATATGATGGATTGTAAACAGAAATGAAGGCAACGCTGAGAGGAGTGATATTGTCTTTTGTAAGTCGAAGATATTTTTCATATTTTGTAAGATTTGGCTCTAAATCGCAACTCAATGCGTATAAACTCGTTAAAACAGCTGCAATATCATTTGCAACTAAAGGAGATGTAGTTTCGCAGCATACTTTGAATAGGTTCGCTACTATTTCCGGCTTAAAGAACTCCTCAAGCAATGGCGATTCATCGCTCAAAGAATCATACAATTGGAGAAGAATAGTAATTGCGGGCCGACTTACATCTGCATCTTGAGCAGTGGCAACCGTAGATAAATACAAAATAAACCGAGAATCATTGAATAAATTTAAAGATTGACGCGTGGCAACTAAAACTATTAATTCTTGTATAGCTAGGTTCCTCATACGCGCAAAGAGTAAGTTGCCGACATCTTGATAAAGCTTGAAAAACTTTGGCCTTCCCCATCTGATTTGTTGACTCAAAATTGTATATAAAAACCCGCATAGTTGCGGATTTGCTGAATCATTTGAGCCTAAAAATGAGTAGCATTGATCTGCGAACGTTTTACTTTCAATGAAAACCATAAAAACTTGTGGAATTGATGACGTAAACACTCGTATGACTGAACTTGACATTTTATTATAGTTAGGATCACTCATTTTATCTTCTGAGAATATCCACTTGCACATTTCGATGATTGTTTGATCACGTGAGACGTAATTTAATAATGGTTTATATTCCACTTTTAAAGCTTGCAAAAAATAATCATTACCAACAACATTTTCTACTGTTGAGCGTGGATTGTCCAGAACTCGCTGAATGGCTGCAGTTGGGTCTACTTCCATTCAAATGAATCCAAAAAATATTTTTTTTCTAGAAGTTTACAAAAGCAAAATTATAAGTAATAGTTTATTGTCAAATAATTACCAGAATCCTTCATCAATGAAGAAATCACATCTGGATTGGTTAATTTTTATTTATACACTTCAATTTTTCTTTTGCGAAACCTCCATGACGAGTTTTTGAATCATAATGATTTCATATTACTTACCCATGATATGGTTCTCATATTTGTTGAAAAAAAACAATATAATCATATATGAGGAGAAATCCAAGAGCGCGCCTTTATTCAGATAGTAGTATTTTGCACATGCAAAATATGAGAAGCGTTCGAGGTTCTCTTCCTCTAGCTTTTCCTCAAGAAAATTCTGTATTGTTTCAAGATTTAGGATATTATGCCGCTATGTACGAATTCGCGCAAGGCTCATTTCCTAAAACTCTCTGGGAGAGCGGAACTATGACAACATGCCAGCCAAATGAATTCAAGTTATTCATTGTAAATACCCCGATTGCTTCTGCATTTTCAGATTTTTCAACTAACGTTTCAACATTTATTTCATCTTTCAAAGGGATGCATTTCTTTGCAATATACTTCCAAATTTTTGATATTGATGCGCGCGGTTTCACTCGTCCTCTGATGTTTGTTATTGCGCATACAAATTCTGATTTAATTTCAAAAGTATATATGGGAGAGAAAGAGAGAATACTCAAAATGATTAAAAATATGCAAAGTCCTACAATTAAGTCATTTCCAGAAGATCTTAAAAAGTATTACGCTTCAATAATGTTGGCAGTAAAGAAACTAGAACCGGGCGATATTACTCTTTCTCAGAAAGTTAATGAATTGAAACGAATATTAGAAATTTTCAAAATTTCAGAAGTCAATGAGGAATTAGCTGAAGAAAGGCCTCCATCATACTTTGTTTCCATTAAATTTGATCTTCGCCCAGCCCAAGATCTAATCAAACTTGACGATTACAGAGATTTTTTGATTGATTTGATGTCATCAATGCCAAAAACAATTACTGGAGCAAATATTTTATGCTACTCAGAGTACTCTGAGACAAAGAATATTATTGACTTCGGAGGAATTACAAATAAATTATGTTATGATGGATTTTCCAGATTTGCTTCGAAGTCAATTGAAACTCGCCTAACAAACGTATCACAATTGATTCCAAGACTCCTTAATAGTCATGTGTTCTATTTCATTGCTTTTACTTTGTTATCTGGCCAAACTTTAATTATTAAAACAGAAGAATTCGCATCTACCAAGTCCTTTGCCGAAAAACTTACTATTTTATGTCCATTCTACAAACCTTCTCACATGAAAATTACAAATTCGATAAATGTTGTAGATTCCCAACAGTATTCAATAGTTATTACCAAAGATGTAGTTGGAGATGTGAAGAAGGTTGTGTCTTTACTAGATCTCATCACTGGATATTACAACGGAGATGGTTGTCCGTCGAGTTCCTTTGTAAACAATGTTTTGATCGATAAGGATAAGCAGAACCTGAGTGAAAACACCTTTATGCTCCATATATTGACCAAACTTAAGGAAATTTCCTCAAAATTTATGTTTTTTATGAGGAAATTTGTAAATTATTCACAAACACCCGATGAATTACTAAATGCTGTGCAGAGTCTTGGGATTTCTAAAGATGATGTACCTATTTTGAAGTATTGGATTTGTTGTTATTATAATAAGTCAAATCTCAAACCAATTCTTAGAGCAAATCACTCAAAATCAGGTCTCACTATGACTCCATTTTAGTTTTATGTTTGAAATATTTGCTTTTTTAAGCAAATATTCAATTTCTGATTAAATTTTTAAATATGGTTTGTTTTTATTGATTGTAAATGATTCTTTTAGATATTTTTAAACAATCATCCTGTATAAATGATATTATGAACAAATAAATTTTTTCAAAATTAGAAATTAAACATTTTTAGACATCTTAATGTAAAAATCAAGTATATCATTATGAAATTATATGAGAAATACATGATTTAGTAATGAAAAATATGAGATATATAAATATTTACAAAAATCTAACAAAATTATTTATCACCGAGAAATCTACTAAGCTCATCAATGAGTTTTGTATTAGGTACAAACAAAAATAATACTCCAGAGAAATCTAATATCGCATAAGCAGGAATTCTACACATTTGATCAGGATAAATTGGTACCCCATTGACTCTAAATGCGCGGTTACCTATATTCTCTATGTAAAAGCAACAATCCTCGAGAAAAGATAATATTGCTTGTTTTCTTGAAATATGCGGACAACTTGATGGTCCACTGGTTGACAAATCTATATCAACTTGATCGTATGCTTGATTCCTTCCGAGAACAATTGCTTCTCTCCTAATTGGAAATGCAACGTTAATTGATCTTAAAACGGCCAAATCATTGGCCTTCATAGCGCTTAGCGTATCAAATGTAGTTAAGATTGGTAAATCAACATGGCTTTGGCTAATTATCATATTTATTTCTGAATGGGGATTTAATTTGCAATCAGGAGCGTAATTACAACGAAGCTGCATAAGGTCTCTAGACTCTATGTCATTTTTGCGCATTTCTTCTGTTTGTTCTGTAGATAAATAAAACATTTCTTCATCAAGAACATTTTTTGCAATTTGATCAATATCGGTATCCTTTTCCTTTGCAGTTAGTTCATTTAAATATATTAATCTTTGGCTAATTTCTTCGAAAGTATGATTATGTCCAACAAATTCCATTGTATCTGTTAAAAATCTTTCTTTTGTATATGTTTGTTCTCCTTTATATCTTAAGAATGTAATCAGCCAAAAATCTTCTTCGGGTGTGAACTGAAATGCTTTTTTATGTGAATTTGGTGTTGGTAATGGTGGATTTTTTAGAGCATTTTTAAAATTTTTCGTAAGACAATCAATCGAATATTTTGATAAGCTTGGAATGACAAGTTGAGCTTGATAAACGGTCATATTCTGTAGGGCATTAATCAATGTAATGATGTCGTTTGGATCCATATAGGGTACATTGCCATCATCAGGTATCTGTATACCGTAAGAATTGACTTGATGCATAAATCTTAGTTTTTCTTGGCTAAAGAAAAGTGTCAAAAAATTGAAATTCATATGACGGTGTTGTAAACAGAAATTCATCAAAAGTGACACCTCAGAAAAGCTAAAATATTGAATTTTTGGAACTTTTGATAGAGCACGTTTTTAAATATTAATTAAAGTAAATGTATATTTTGTAAAGATTCTTTTTAATAAAAAAATAAAATTTTGAAGAAGAACACAAAATCTTCTGAAAAATAATATCACATAAACTCATATTATTTTCTAATATATAACTATTTTATATAAAAATCAAATTCAATGATCTTAAAAGCGAAGGATAAACCTCAAATTTACGAATATAATGAGTGGGAATATAATGCTTATCTATCATAAAACCATATGAAATATCAATTTTTGCTTTACGCCTAATTTTTGACGACAATTAGCAAAAAATGTTAAATGTTAACACTCAGTCCATTTGAATATGAAAAATAAAATTGACTTTGATTAAATGTTTTTATTTATCATGCAATTCTTCTTGCGACCAAAGATTTGAATAAAAGTTCAAAAAATAAGATAGCTTAAAAAATAATATACGGTAGTGTTTACTAATAGATGAATAGTATATAAATTCTATTAAAATGGATTTGATCCAAAAAAATATATAAAATTTGATCATAAATAAAATCGTTTTAAATTACTTCTTCATTTAAATTATAACAATTATTTTTTGGTTTTATATTTTTTTGGATCAAATCCATTTTAATAGAATTTATATACTATTCATCTATTAGTAAACACTACCGTATATTATTTTTTAAGCTATCTTATTTTTTGAACTTTTATTCAAATCTTTGGTCGCAAGAAGAATTGCATGATAAATAAAAACATTTAATCAAAGTCAATTTATTTTTCATATTCAAATGGACTGAGTGTTAACATTTAACATTTTTTGCTAATTGTCGTCAAAAATTAGGCGTAAAGCAAAAATTGATATTTCATATGGTTTTATGATAGATAAGCATTATATTCCCACTCATTATATTCGTAAATTTTGAGGTTTATCCTTCGCTTTTAAGATCATTGAATTTGATTTTTATATAAAATAGTTATATATTAGAAAATAATATGAGTTTATGTGATATTATTTTTCAGAAGATTTCATTCTATATGCCTATGAAAAGTACTCTCAAAACTAACTTTTTCCTAATTATAATTAAATCTAGAATATTGTATTATGCTTAGTATTATTTCATTTTTCTCATTCAATTTAGAATTTACAAATGTCAAAAAATTGAGAGCTATCACTTTTGATGAATTTCTGTTTATTACAACGGGGCCTTCAATTCAGGTGTTCAAGGCTAATTTTCAATGTCGCTTTACGCCGGTTGTCAAAAATTTGAATTAATGCCAGATGGGCGTAAGTGCAGCCTTAAAATCTCATAATATTAATTTCTTTTCATATTAATTTTGTTGTGAGATCATAGATTAGTTTCTTCGCTAACATTATATTGAAAAACTAGTCCAAATTCGGGCGAGAGAAAAAAAATTGGTCCAAAACTTTTAATTCGAGGGAGGCACAAACTTGCCCAGTGAGGTGAAGTGAAAAGTGACAAGTTTACATGTCATAAATGTAACGTGTCAGATTTGAAACAAAAAATGGATTAATTTATTATTATATGATAGAGAGATTTGGTAAGTTACTATCAAATTTGTAAGTAAGGGAAAAAAAGTAAGAAAGAAAAAAAAATTTTTAAAAATAAAAAGCCACTCGCTTCGCTCGCGGTTGACAAAAAGAACAAATTCGAAAAATAATTGTATGAAATTACGAAACTAAGCCGCTCGCTTCGCTAGCGGCTTAAGTAAACAACATATTTCAGATTATCGATACTAAAAATTTTTTTATTTTATTACATTTTATTTTTTTTTTGCATTTTTTTTAAAGCTTCTTAACTTAAATCATGGAATGTCTCAAAGACAAAAGTAGCATACAGCATGTAAAGCTAAAGAAAGATAATCATAATTAATACCTTAATTTTTAATATTACGCATTTTTAGGTGCAAAATTTAAAAACATTCTAATACAATAGAGCAGTTTCCAAAAGTAGCATACAGCATGCAAAGCTAAAGAAAGATAATCATAATTAATACCTTAATTTTAATATTACGCATTTTTAGGTGCAAAATTTAAAAACATTCTAATACAATAGAGCAGTTTCCAAAAGTAGCATACAGCATGCAAAGCTAAAGAAAGATAATCATAATTAATACCTTAATTTTTAATATTACGCATTTTTAGGTGCAAAATTTAAAAACATTCTAATACAATAGAGCAGTTTCCAAAAGTAGCATACAGCATGCAAAGCTAAAGAAAGATAATCATAATTAATACCTTTAAAGTTTAAAATCTTGATTTTTTTTTAAAATCAAATATTTATAACTTTAATACATACAGCTTAAACCTTATACTTGTTTTCTCTTGTGAGAAAGCAATCTTACAAAGCTAACAATCCTAAAAAATAAAGAATTAAAATTTAATAATTTAATCTAAAATTAAAATCAAAATTAAATAAAATGAGTTCTTTGTAATAATACTTTCAAGGTAGGATATATTTTAGTGGGATCTATTGAGTCATCACTAACAGCATTGAGTATAGATCCAAGGTGATGTGATTTTTGCATCCCTGGGATGGACGATACACCCAAAGTGTCACCTTTTTGGGATAACATGAATTTGAAATATCATGAGAGTTCTGCAAACCATATGCACAATATCTATTCAGCCTGACTTCTTGTATATATGAGTTAGACTTCTTAAATATTGTGCTTGGGGCGATATAAGCATTTCCGAGATTACCATCGTGCTCTATAGTATGCTACTTCTCCCTGGTTCTAGCTCAGTTCCAAGGATATTGGCGTTCAAGGATTTGGCAAGGTCCTTCCGAAGTCTCTCATTCGATGAGAGATTTCGGAAGAATCTTGCCTTAAAGTACTCCAACTCTTGTTCTTTTGTTCCTAAATAGTGAGAAAAGTTATTTGACTACTTAAGGTAGAGATTATCCGAGGTCTCTCATTTGATGAGAGGCCTCGGATAATCTCTGCCTTAAAATTGTACACTTGTAGTCCATGAGAGTGTAAGTATACATTGATAGGACAGCTTTCTTCTGAAGTCTTAGATTTGATGAGAACCTCAGAAGAAAACTGTCCTATTTTATAGTAAAAGGAGTTTCAGGAGCTCCAAAGCTCCCTTTCGTAAGGATTAGGAGCTTTGGAGCTCCTGGTTCGTAGATGTGTTTCGCATCTTTCATCAGCAAAGGACATTTACCATCTGGGACTCTGTTGATGGAGACTCAGGAGCTCCAAAGCTCCCTTTAGTAAGGATTAGAAGTTTTGAAGCTCCTGGTTCGTAGACGTGTTTCGCATCTTTCATCAGAAGAGGCCCAAATGCTAAATAGCCTCTGCTGATGAGCTTCAGGAGCTCCAAGGCTCCCTCTCGTAACGATTAGGAGCTTTGTAGCTCCTGAAGGTAAGGTAGGATTGCTCTGATCTCTAATCAGTAGATGCCATGCCTCATTATGAACTCTACTGACAAGAGATCAAGAGCTCCAAGGACTCCCTTTTTAGTTAGTGGCGTTCTCACCATTTAGTAGGATTGCTGATCCTACTAATGAAGTGATCACTTAGTATACGTTTTGAATAAATTGAATTTTTTTTTAGAATTTAGTATTTTTTATAGACATCACATGTATATTATAAATACATAAATATATTCTTTAATTCAAAAAATTCAATTCGGTTTTGGGATGGGTATCCCAGCCCCAAGTATTCAATTTTATTCAATTTTTAAAGAATTTTGGGTTGGGATGCCCAGACCAAAACAAGCTTTATATTTTGATGTGTAGATACGTATGTGTGCATCATTGTTGTGTTATATATTATGTTTTTAATGAAAAAAAAATCTGATTCAAAAAAAATTATCACTAATTAGTTGATAATATAAAGAAAAAATAGATAAATTGTATGTTTTGAGTATGGCATTCCAAACGGGAACCGCGGTTGGTTACCATGGATTTCCGTCACCGGTCACATTTTAAAGATTTTTAAAGCCTTATAAAAATATGCTTTGTAAATCATTTTTTGTAAATCGGCAAAAATTTGGTAATTTTCTTCAACTAATAAATCTGCGAATAGCATTTATAATACAAGAACAATCTTTTAAAATGCGTTTGATTCATTTTTGTATAATTTCATATAGGCACATATATTCTTCCGGGACTTTCCGTGATTTTACCGTAAAATCATTAGTTTACACCAATTTTTCCGTATTTTGAATAGTTTACTGCACTTTTTCCGTAAAATTGAGTTACGGGAATCCGCAAAATTTCCGGACCTCATTTTTCATAGAATATAATAATAATATTTGATAAAAAGATATATTATTTGTATTTTTGATTTTTGAATTACGGAAAAAGTGAATTGTTAACTTGATTTTTTTATATGGTTAATTTTTCAAATGATTTTATGAAGATCTAAAATATTAAAAGTAAAAAATTGAATTACGGAAAAAGTGAGGTCAAAAGTGAAATAAATTTGCAGAACAATTTTCATTGAAATAAGACATTGAGTATCACACTTTAGTGAATCAACATCTATAAGAATGAAGTGTTTTGAAGCTGAAATAATATTGAATAGAAATTAATTTTTTTGAAATTTTGAATGAAATTATAGGAAATAAAAAAATTACTAAATATTGTATTCATACAAATATATTATTTTAAAGGAAAAATAGATGCTGATAGAAACGATGAAAAATTTTGAAAACTTTACAATTAATTTATGTTCGTTAACCACAGAGCTTGCAATCCAAAGCTCACGTTAGACTACAAGAGTCACGAAGTCTCATACTAAGGGATATCCAACATATATTTTAATAATCTAATGTTTGTGACAAATATTCAACATAAAATTAAGTTTTCGTTTCGTTACAAGGCATTCATACTTTGGAGATATCATATTTAATGTACAGAAAAGTTAATATTAAACAATACATGCTAAAGAATTAATAAATAAGATAATAAATAAATTTATACGTAATTACTTTCATTTAATATGCTTTATGCTGTATAATATTGATTAAGAGGCATTAAAAGGTTCCATAGTCTGCTGTTATAGGCAAGATTTTTGATAAAAATTTAAAATTTTGAAAAATGATGAGAAAAGGAAAAAAAAGGTAAATGAGAGCAAGAGGAGGGAAAAAAAAGAAAAAGAAAAGAAAGGGAAGGGAAAAATAAAAGAAAGAAGGACATATAAAAATTTAGATGCGCATTCTTAATGCCGAGGCGGCTTGCCGCCGAGGCGCGATTTTTTTAGGCCTCTACGGTAACCCGGCAATGTTTTTTTAAATCTTGTACAGCCCTAGTTTTGAGAGTATTTATCCACATTCACTCATATGAATTTCATTAAATAGTGTCTTTTTAGTCCCAAATTTATTTTGAATTATTGAAATCAAAGAAAAAAAATCAGAAAAATTTCTCGAAATTTTTATTTTCAAAAAAAATTTGGATTTTATATTGAAAACTGACACTGGGAGGACGATAGGGCTGGGATTGGAGATACCCCGCTCACTTGGGAAAAATACGGATCTATAGCATTGAGCAATCTATTGAGCATTGAAATACTCTCGATTTTTCTTTGTCTTTTTACATCAATTTATGCGTTAGTTGCTTTTTCCATGATCCTAATAACACGGTCATCTGCTGGATTTTGATCAATTTTGAGTTTGATAACGAAAGATGGTATCACTTTTGTATAAATTTCTATAATAACATCATCAATTCTGAGATTTTTTCGATCAGGAAAATAGTCATGTTTGAGTGTTCTAAAATGAGCTTCGGCAATATTGTTAGTTGCGTCGCCTTCACGCCTGTCATAAGCAATCCATCTTGATATGTTGTAACGCCATTGTCTGTTAAAGTATTGAGATGCTGTTGGATCTGTGTCGAGCAACTCCAGAACTTGATCATAGGCAGCATTTGCTTCTTCCTCATGTTCTGCATCTAATTTGAAGACTAAATCCTTCATCAAATTATAGAATTGTTCAAATTTTTCTTGAGAAGAAAACTTATTTGATTTGCGAAGAATTGCACGAAGAACATGTACTCCGCACCAAAGTATTTGAGCTTGTGGAATGCTTTCTTCTATTGCTTGAGCTATCTGTGGAGCACAGTCCATGCTAATGTATTCTGGCTCAATTGTTACCCATCTGAGATAGGCGCACACGCAAACTTGAATGTTTTGATAAGTGTCTGGTTGACAAAAGAAATATAAAAAAGGGAAAATGTGAAAATCTTTGATTTTGCCAGTAAATGCATACAATGGAATGTTTGATCGCAACAATTTATAGGTGCTGTCTATATGAAATGTCTTGATACTATGCGCATAAGCTTTGCCTTCAAAAGGCGCGTAATAGAAACACATATTATTGTCTGAGACTTCAAATGCAATGAGATCATCTGGAGATTCTTCTTGTACTGTCTGAACAAAGATTTGCAATGACACAACATCGTCAGGAGAATATCTAGTTTGAAGAGCATGTATTCTCTCTGCAAATCGTTTGATTGCACGTGGTTTTTGAGCGTACATCTCTGGAATGGACGGACCTGTAAGAGGAATTTCAAGATCTTTGAATGCATTTAGCTGTGCTATCGCTCTTTGATTGTCATCTGTTTGGAAGTAATGTTCTAAATATTTGCGATAAAAGACAGACGAATATTGACTTTTGTCATTTGGGGCGGAATGATCATGTTCTTCAACTATTTTGATTAGTTTGTATTTATTTTGATCCAAGATTGCAACATTAAAATGTGCAGGACATTTTGGATATTTGCAGTGGAATGAAATCTGAGATCTTTCTTTCCTGACACGTTCACCATATCCATACTGTGCTTGTATTTCTTGTTTAACTCCAAATTTACAAAGATCCATAACAGTAAAGATAGTTTCTTCTTCTAATTCCATTTGAAATTGAAATGAAAATTAAAAATTCAGAAATTTGAATAGATTTGGTCTGTAATTAAATGAGAATAGCAGTTTGTTCGTCATTGTTTGAGGCAAGAGTATTATAGGAATATTATATGATGGATTTGAGTTGCATATAAAGAGTGCAAAAGGATAAAGAGAGAAATTTTGTTAGATTAAATTATTAAATTTTAATTCTTTATTTTTTAGGATTGTTAGCTTTGTAAGATTGCTTTCTCACAAGAGAAAACAAGTATAAGGTTTAAGCTGTATGTATTAAAGTTATAAATATTTGATTTTAAAAAAAAATCAAGATTTTAAACTTTAAAGGTATTAATTATGATTATCTTTCTTTAGCTTTGCATGCTGTATGCTACTTTTGGAAACTGCTCTATTGTATTAGAATGTTTTTAAATTTTGCACCTAAAAATGCGTAATATTAAAAATTAAGGTATTAATTATGATTATCTTTCTTTAGCTTTGCATGCTGTATGCTACTTTTGGAAACTGCTCTATTGTATTAGAATGTTTTTAAATTTTGCACCTAAAAATGCGTAATATTAAAAATTAAGGTATTAATTATGATTATCTTTCTTTAGCTTTGCATGCTGTATGCTACTTTTGTCTTTGAGACATTCCATGATTTAAGTTAAGAAGCTAAATTCTGAAGTTTACATGATCCTCTCGTGTGCACCCTTAAAAAATGCAAAAAAATTGAATACTTTACTGGCTGGGCAAATTTGTCGCCGCCCCTTTTAATTCTTGTTTTCAATTAGACTCGAAAATAATGAATGGCATATTATATATCTAATGATAAAATCTTTGTATGCTCACAGGATGAAGAGAATCCTTACTCAGGCTTTTGTTTCGAAATATGTTGAACAATGTTTATAAATCTCCTAGAATATGCCACCATCTTCAAATTAAGTGCGTTGATATGGCGAATTAACTCTAAATTAAAAAATATGAGGCGTTTATTCTTAAATAATCGCGCAACTAAGAAAATAACTATTTGATTTTCTTCCACCATGTTCAGCTAAGAATTTGACAATTTCTTTTGAATTCCTTTTGATCGCAATACTAAAAGGGGATTCATTATTATTGAGAGAACCTCAAAAAACGATTATAAATATGAACGGAAGCATAATGTTATAAAGCAATGATAAATATGAAAAGAAAGAATATTGAATAGGGCAATGATAAATATGAAAAGAAGGAGAACTTCATAAAATAATGTTAAATATGAAAAGAAGCATAATGATTTAAAACAATGATTGATAGGAAAAGAAAGAAAACATCACAAAACAAAGATAAATATGAAAAGAAAAAGAATCAGATAAAACAATTAAAAATATGAAAAGAAAGAGAATCCTATAAAATAATAATTAATATGAAAAGAAATAGGATCATATAAAGTAATGATGAATATGAAAAGAAATAGAATTCTATAAATCAGTGATAAATATGAAAAGAATAAGAATTAGTTTCATGTTAATATCAGCGCCATGTTCCACTAAGAATTTGACAAATTCTATTGAATTCTCTTTTATTGCAATACTAAGAGGGCATTAATTATTATTGAGAGAACTTCATAAAAGGATTATAAATATGAAAAGAAAGAGAACATCATGAAATAATGATAAATATGAAAAGAAGCATAATGTAATAAAACAATGATAAATATGAAAAGAAGCATAATGTAATAAAATAATGATAAATATGAAAAGAAATAGAATGCCATAAAGCAATCATGAATATGAAATGAAAGAGAATAAAAATTCTGTTAATATTATCATCAACTAAGAATTTGACAATTTCTGTTGATTTCGGTTTGATCGAAATACATTGAGGATAACAATTAATATTGAAAGAACATCATAAAATAACAATTAATATGAACAGAAAATGAATTGTATATAACAATGATAAATATGAAAAGGAAAATAATGTAATAAAACAATGATTAATATGAAAAGAAGTAGGATTAAATAAAGCAATGATAAATATGAAAAGAAAAAAAATTTCATAAAACATTGATAGATACGAAAAGAGATAGAATTCTATTTAACAATGATAAATATGAAAAGAAAGAGAATTCTATAAAACAATGATAAATATGAAAAGAAACATAATGTAATAAAATAATCATGAATATGAAAAGAAATAGAATTTTATAAAACAATGATAAATATGAAAAGAAACATAATGTAATAAAATAATCATGAATATGAAAAGAAATCTAATTTTATAAGCCAGTGATAAAGATGAAAAGAATGAGAATTAGTTTCATGTTAATATCAGCGCCATGTTCAACTAAGAATTTGACAATTTCTGCTGAATTCGCTTTGATTGCTATACTAAGAGGACATTCATTACTATTGAAAGAACTTCATAAAATAGCAATTAATATGAACAGAAAATTAATTATATATAACAATGATAAATATGAAAAGAAATAGAATTATATGTAGCAATGATAAATATGAAAAGAATTATAATTATATAAAACAATGATAAATATGAAAAGAAAAAGAATTTTACAAAACAATGATAAGTATGAAAAGAAATAAAATGTAATAAAACAATGATAAATATGAAAAGAAACAGAATCACATAAAACAATGATAAATATGAAAAGAAACAGAATCACATAAAACAATGATAAATATGAATGGAAAAAAATGTAAACTTTGTTGATATCTTCTCCATTAGTAAGTAAATAAGATGCAACATCATAATTTCCGAAATACATACTTTCTGGTATTGAATCAAATGATTGCCCTAAATGTGATTTAAGATACTCAGCAATTTCATAGTTTCGATAATCCATTGCTGTATTAATCATGTTATCAAATTATTTACCATCTTCTATCATTTGCATAAAAATGTATTTATTTCCGCCTTGAACGGCATATTTTTCGGAGTAATAATCGTATTGAGCTCCTAAATTTTTCAAGTAATTGAAACACAATTCTGATCCATATTTGATTGCACAATCAAGCGGGGTGATTTCATCATCTACTCTCATATTAATATCAAGATTTGGGAATTTAGATTTAAGATCATCAACTTTATCCCATGCAATATAGAATAATGGAGATTTTGTTGGATATAAATTCAGAATTTCTTCTTCTTCCATTCTAGGTTCGAAGTTTTCAAATTTGAAACCTCTATAATGTAGAAGTGTCGATAATTTCTCATTTTCCAGTTCGATGATGCATGAGTATTCGTTTGATATCTTTTGGTAAAGATCAGTAAATAATTTAATATTTTTAACGCAAATTTGTGAAATAATATCAATCAGATAAAGCGACATTTGGATAGATATTTTGTTGTTTGTAAGGAATTCTATAATTTGTGAAGAAGCTTGTTCAATATTATTGGAATTGACATCCCAAAATATTTTTGATGCTTGACTAGGGTATTCAAATACTTCAATTGACTCAATATCACAAAAACCCCATCCAGTTTCATTTTTTGATCTCTGAGAATTTATCATGTCTTGTAAAAATTTTGAATATGTCATTATTTCACAGAAATTATGACACCAAAATAAACTGCGGACAAAACCTAGATGACTCTCACATTTTGAGAGAGAGCATATGGTAAGTATGGATATCATGAAATATGTCAATAAAAATAAATTATAATAATTAACCAAAATATTCAAATCATATAAGGGAAAAAAGGCAAAAATAAATAATGTTTATAATTCCAAATATTTTTCATTTTGCAAATTTTCATGGAAAATTCGTATTTCTGCTGTTGATATTCAAATTTTTGAATTTTTTTGAATTTTAAATGAAGAATTGAGAAACCTAATATAGATAGTTGATGTCTCATATGTGAATATGTTCATTTTGGAATTTTTTCATATTTTATGATGAAATTGAGTTTCTATCACAAGTTTAAATAGCATATTTAATGACTGATTATATGAATTTATATTTTCATCATTATGGTATATTGAAATAGGAGACACTCAATATTACAATGTCTTTCTTAGGATTCCAACTGTATTCAAATTTCCTGAAACTACAATTTCTGTAGTTACTAGCCACATATAGGAAGCAATACACAAATATATAATAGATGGTATATCAGTTTATCTCGCAAAATGAGTAACTTAGGGAAAATTCTTGATACTTTTTCAAACATACAATAACGCAAGATAATCCAAATATGTATATTTGCAAGTCAAAGAATCGAATATTAATAATCTCTCAAAATCGCTCTTGCAGTTTTCTTCTATTCTTCATCTATTAGAATATCTATATAGTCTAAATCCATTGCCAAAATTAAGAAAGCATATTTACCATTTTGTGGAAATACCTTTATTTTGAACGTCATATCATGCTTTGTCAATGGGGATGATAAAATAAACAAAATATGAAAAATCATTGATTAAATTTCAAATAAATTGCCACGCTAGATTGAGAAATAATACATGGATTGGTTTCAACTCAAATATAAAAGATTTGATAATAAGAATATTTAGTTTAGAAATAAGTTCGAATTTATGAGCCAAATTGAAAACCGTTTCACTCCATTCAATTTTTCTCATAATATGCTATATTATGCAATAAATGTAAAGTTTTCTATTTCTTTTTCGTCTTTTTAGAGTCTTTCTTTTCTGCTGATGAAAGGATTTTAATTATTTCTTTATTTTCAAACTCCTTTGAAAGATCAAGTGGAGTATTCTTTTCTTTGTTTTTGATTTTGATATTAGCTCCTTTTGAAATAAGAAATGCAACCGTCTTTTTATTATTCGCTTCAACAGCATTATGAAGAGGTGTTGATCCATCATTATCTTTTGCATTGATATCAGCCTTATTTGAAATGAGCATCTCTGCAATTTTTTGATTATTAAATTCAATCATATAATGAAGAGCAGTTTTTCCAAGATTGTCCTTTTCATTGATGTTTGCCCCATGAGAAAGTAATACTTCTAGTGCACCAATTGAATTGTTTTCTGCTGCTTTTTGAAGGGGAGTTTTCATTTCATTATTTCTTCTGTTGATTTCAGCACCATGTAAAACAAGAATATTTACTATTTCTTTGAAATTGAAATAAGCGGCTTGATGTAAAGGAGTTTTTCCAAAATTATCAATTGCATTAATTTCAATGCCTTGGGAAATCAGAAATTCCACCATTTCTTTATAGTTGTTTTGTGCAGCAATATGGAGCGCAGTTTGTTTCGTATTGTCTTTTGAACTTAAAATAGATTGTTTATCTTCAACAGAATTTAATAAAAACTTGCAATTATCAATCTGATTATAAGCGACTGCATAACGGAAAAGATTGCATTTATCATCGTAATCAACATTACTAAAATCGAGCTCTTCTTTTTTAAGATAAGTGTAGGCCAGAGGTATTGCTGTGCACCATGGAATTACAGTAGCTGCATCACACTTGTGCATTTGCAGTAGAAGTTTTAAATTGTGAGAAATTATAGTGTCTTTGATAAGGTAGGAATTTATATTTGAAGGATTGAATTTTTCTTGATTGAGCATGTAATCAAGGAATTCATTATTGTGACAAATCGCAGCAGTACGTATTTTGGACCATATAAAATGATCTAACTTTATGCACTCATTGATAATATCCGTGTTTCCACCTATGATTGACATTTCAGGACATTTGTGTGTGATTTTAAATTGAAACTCTGAACGAAGGAATTTGAAAATGTTCACCGAACCAAAATATGCTGCTGCTTCAATAACAGAAAAAGAAAAAGATGGAATTGAAATAATTATTTTATCGAGTGCTTTAGAAGCAGCTATTTCTTTGAATGTGCTGATATCATCATACATAATTGCATTTAAAATTTTGCTTTCTTCCCCATTTGGAATATGTATTGATTCGATTTTGTGGATCTCATGTAATTGTGTCACATTTGTTTCTGCATGAGTATTTGAAAATATATTATTATAATATAAAGTTGTAATGGAGTACTTTTTGCAGATGCAGTTTATTATATTATCATAAAGCGAGCGTATACGGTAATTATATTTCTGAGCTTCTGATAAACTATAAATAATTGTACGCACAGCTACTTTATAAAAAAAAAAAAAAAAAAAAGGTAGTGGGGCTTCCAGGCACTTCGTGCCTTCTAGCCCTGATGATGTTTAATATAAATGAAGTTGATATTCGGAGGACTCTTCTTCTTCCTCCATTGCTTCTGGGAAGAAGCCTTCTTCTGGGTCGAAAACATTATATAATGTGTCGCTTTTCACAAATTATATATGTTTTCATGCTTTGTCACTTTTCTGTCACTTTTCAGGTAAAAACATTTTTATTATTATATATAAATGAATTTTACAAAACCACCGTTACCGTTCTTTGGAAATAAGGGTAAATGTAAAGATATTATATTGAGAGAACTTAAGAAACTACCGAATGGTCTAACATTTGTAGATTTGTTCGGTGGAAGTTTCTATATATCCCATTTGTGCCATACCGTATTTCCTGACTCAAAGATTATATGCAATGACTTCGACAACTATATGGACCGTCTCAAACATATTCCAGACACAAACAATATATTGAAAGAGTTAAAAGAAAAGATACCTATAGGTAAGATGGAACGTATACCATTAGATAACAAAAATATTGTGAGAGAGGTTTTGAAAAAAGCAGAATATATAGACTGGGATAGTATATCTGCTAGACTATTATATAGTGGTTCTATAAGAGTTCATGACATTGAAACACTTATGTCAAAAGTTTTATATCTTAACTATACAAATGTTTTCAAAGAGGACATAGAAAAATATATGAGGGTATAGAGTTTGTGAGATGTCATTGGACAGAGTTGTATGAAAAATATAAAGACAAGGAAAATGTTTTCTTTATAGTGGACCCGCCGTTCTATAACACATGGGATTTTCAATACCAAGTAGACTGGACTTGAGAGACTCTTTAGAAACTTTAGACGTTTTACATAACCATCCATGCTTTTACTTTACATCCGATAAAAGTGGTTTGGAAACCGTTATGAAATGGTTAGAGGACATACATGACTATGAGTTTAGATATGACAAGATAGAATATGAGAGAGGTCCTATAAACCGGAGAAAGTGTCATAACAAAGAAATTTTATTAGTAAGTAAATGTGGTTTGAAATAGGACTACTTGTTTTAGGTTTTTTCCATTGTGTCATTTATTTGTTTGACGTGGCAGAAAGATATAGAGAATATGAAGATGAACCAATGCCTGCAAATGTTCAGTATATGTACTCGTAAGAGATATTTTTATCTAATATTAAATGGACGCACAGAACTTAGCGAATGCACAGCAACCTGGACAACCAAACCCAGAGAATATTCCAAATGAAGTTAGAATACAAACTGCAATGGCAAACTATGGTCAAGTGCCAACAGATGTACAAATGCAAACTGCCATGTCAAATGACGCTGCGTTAGGTTTGCCACCATGGTATGCAAATATGAGATGGAAAGAGTTTTATACAAACCTGAAGTGGGATATAAACAACTTTATGCAGATGACGCGAACACAGGAGTTGACCCAGAATATGTTTTCTACCAGAGGAGAAACAGAATGTATGAGCTCCAGTTAAAGAATGCTATGGAACTCAACAGGAAACGTAAGAGACTAGGCGGACATTAGATTTTTACATATAGTAAAATGGGTTTCTTCAGTAAGATAGGAAACTTCTTTCGAAATGTTGGAAGAGGTATATGGAATGGAATAAAAACCGTAGGAAGAGGAATTTGGAACGGAGTCAAAAATATTGGTAAAAGAGTAGGTCAGTTCGTTGGTATTATACCTAAAGACCCTGAACCAGAAGAACAAGCTCCTGTTATACAACAGCCTGAACCTGCACCACAGTCTAGTTGGCAACCAAATCCAACACCTCAACCGTATTAAAAAATTATATTTTTACCGTTCGATAGTAGTTGTATATGAAACTAAGTTCTAAGTAAAACGCATGGTATAATGGAATTATTCTTTTTCTTCCATCTGTAGTAAACCATACTTGAAAGTCTGAAATACTTCCACTCGGCGGTTCATATAACTTTGTAGGTTTTTCGTAAAAGTCATTTGCCAAGCATAAGAAAGAGTTTTGGGCGCCAGAAAATGAAGCATGAACAATAATAGCAGCTGGGTCGAAAACATTTTCATATGTTCCATTAGGGTTTTCGACTTCATAAAAGTCTGGGTGTACTGGATATGCTGCAGGCTGATTTAACATCCTCATAAATCTATACCATGCCAAGTTGTTATATTTTGTAGAAATATAAACGTTTTCTCCAAGGTCTTCTATTCTATTGATTTTAACAGTTGCATTTTTCCTGTCATAAATAATATCGAGATGGTACTCTCCCTCGTCAATGTTATACTGGTTTGCATATTCGATATAGATATCGTTTATTTTTTCTTGAAAAGCTTGAAGAGTTGTTTCTAAGTTTACAAGCAAACTAACTTGTAAAAGTTTTCCCTGTTCAAATTTCTCATACATACGTTTTTCTTTGTTATAGTATCGAACTTCAAAACCGACCGTAAATGGGAAACCATGTATGGCTTCTGAAATGAACTTCATTCTACGAAAGCCAATAGCTTTTGTGACAGATGGGTCTCTTAACCATCTTAAATGGGTAGTCAAAACGATAGCCTTCATGCTTTACGGTCTCTGTCTCAAACTTTTGACCGACATTAGTAAAAAGTTCATCTAATGGTTTAGTTGTAGCAACTCTTGAATTTTCTTTTTCTATTGAAAGCATATTTTATCTAGAATAAAAATGTCGAAAGATATTGCTTCCATGAGAGAAATACAACACAACCGACAACTCATTGTGCAAGCTCTAAATAAGAACACAACAAACTTTTCAAACTATTCTAAGATATCTGAGTCATTGAAAGAAGGAAACTTAAAACTGACAATAAACCCAATGACAGATGAGTTTCTGTTTCAAGACAATAAGAACCATACTGTCTGTATAAATCCAACAAAAGGAACTTTAAACGAGAAACCTATAAATGAACTTCTTTTGAAACAGATGTTGACAACAAAGCTGACAAAGAATATGTAGACGATGCAATAGCAAAAGAAGAAGAAAGCTAACAATGCTTATGCAACAAAAGAACATACTCATCCTGAACTAGCAGACAAAACATATGTTGACAATAAAATGTCAAGTGAAGTGACAAGAGCTGAAAACGAATATTCTAAAAAGACTCATACACATTCTATATCTGAAATAACAGACTTAAACGTTAGCCTTGAAAATAAGGTAGATAAGGGACTTATGGCTAGTGTGTTAGAGAAGAAAGCAGATAAGGAATATGTGGATGAAAAAGATAAAGAAATTATAGAAAGGGTTGACTGGTACCATGAACGGACATCAAAGATTTTAAAAACTAAAGCCGATACAGGATGGGTTTCAGGATGTTTAGACCTTAAAGCAGATAAAACTTATGTTAACGATGAGTTAGAGAAGAAAGCAAATAAGACTCATACACATACAAGTTTTACAACTGTTGCTATAGAAAGTATTGAAGGAACGGTTGAAGAAACTGGTGGGGATGTATTATATTGTAAACCTCCTAACTTTCCACAAGGTTTAACATCGGATGACGACATAACGACGATGAAAAACATTAGATGTAAAGATGTTTATGTCATGAAGGATGAACATAATATTAAATTCACTGCTCAAGATTTATATGACAAGAAAGCAGACAAAACAGAGCTTCAAACATTAAAGACAGAAATGCTTCAAACATTATATCCTATAGGCTCTATTTATACGTCAATGAACTCTACCAGACCAGAAGTAGTACTTGGTTTTGGAACTTGGACTCAAATAGTCGACAGGTTTTTGTATTGTGCAAACTCTTCAAAGGAAACAGGTGGAAGTAAAACGATTTCAGGTGAAAATTTACCTGCACATAGTCACTACATAGATTTAAGTACATCTCAAGCAGGTTGGCATAAGCATAGATATTGGGATTGGTCAGCAATGACAAAAGGTAAAGGATATGATGTTAAAGACAACGTTAAGTTTGCTATAGATTGTTACTGGAGTAACACTGAGGGAGGAGGAAACCATACACATCGCGTTTCGGGATATACGCAAACAACGGGACAAAGTAAAGACTACATGCCACCTTACATGACAGTTTACGCATGGTATAGAAATGCTTAGTCGTCATTTTCAACTTCTTTAGCATATTCGTCAGGAGTTGTCTTATATTTGTTAGGAACTGTTTTTGAAAATATACCACCTTGAACTTTGACAAGTTTGAAACGAGGTCTGACAATAGTAGTTTTATCTTCTGCTTGCAGTGTGTACATTTTGCCATGTTTGCCTAAAACTTCATAATATTCTCTTGTATACTTTCTTCTATTTTTACGAACACGAATGTGAGTACCTGTCGGGTTCCCATTGTTGTCATAGTCAATAGTATTTTCATATGGGTCGCGTTTAGGTATTTCTATTTTTACTTTGTCACCTTTCTTAAGTTTGAAGCCCGGCATTCTTTCTTGTTTGTCTCTTTTGACTAAATTATTAAATATATAGTCTTTCTCTAAGTCAGGGTTGTTTTTCATTTCTTCGGGGAGTGGTTTCCCAAACCTTTTTGTTTACGGCTATTGTAAATATTTAAAACTTGTCTCATCTTTGCTTGGAGAAGTGTCTATACTTGTCGTCATATGACATTTCATTTGCTTCACCACCTTGTGGTTGGTTTAAGTCTCTTAACATTTTTATACAACCGTCAATGACACCAAGAGCAGAATGGTTTTGGTCGACAATGAAATATTGGTTTACATTTTTTGAACGCAGATAGTTTTCAATATCATCTGATTTGAAAGAACTTTCACAGTCAGATGTCAGTTTTGTTGGGTGGTATTTGTCAACGAATATTGTCAAAGCTGCTAAGATATCTAAAATAGCTTTGGACTGTAATGGTATGGCTTCACAGTATCTTGTGTTTTGACCGACAAATATTAGCCAGTATGGTGGTCCATCTTCTCTATACCTCGGAATGTTTTCCAAGATATCCATAAACCAAGCATTTGGTGTTGAACTAAAGATTTTTATCATGAGTGCTTTCTTTGTCGCTTTAGAAACATAGGGGTCCTTGTTTGGATTCGTCATTTTTTAACCCATAAGAAATGGGTTTATTTGGCGCATTAGCAGGAGTTGCATCCAGATTTTTGCCCGCAGTGGGAACAATAGCCAGAGGTGTATTTGGAGTTGGAAGGAAGATTTTGAGTACATTAGGTATACTTAAAGAGAAAGCACAACCTATTATACAAACTGTACAGAAAGGTTGGGATGTAGCACGAGATGCAACAAATCTTATTCCAAATCCTGAAACAAGAGGAAAAGTTCAAGGATGGATGGACAATGTAGGAAGACAAGCAGGAAACTATTATAACAAAGCAAATGACTACTATAACCAAGCAGGACACTATATGGACCAAGGTGAAAGATTCTTTAACAGAGGATATAACCATGCACAACAGTGGGTAAACAATAACCAACTCAACCGCCTCAAACGTGGGGAATGTAAAGTTTTTTACTGAGATGAAATGAACAATACAGCATTGAGACAAATGGGTTCAAGATGGATTTGTCGACTTCCAGCAGTTACACAACGTGTTTGTCAAGTTCTTCCTATACCTCAGGAAGTTTTAGACCGACTTAAAAAACAACAACAACCAGTTGAAAACAAACCAAACTAAAATTTTTTACTGAGATGAAATGACCGAAGAAGTTGAAACGGTAGATTTGACACCACAAACAAAAAGTTCAGAACCATTGTCAAAACCTGTCAAAGAACTTACAGATGAAGAGAAAAATTCAATAATAGAAAGTGCCAGGTCTGGAAATACAAACCCTAACTATAAAGTCACTTTTCATAGAAATGGAACGGCTAGTATCTCAAAAAAGAAACAGACTCTCACAAATAAAATATTGAAGTCTGAAGGAGCTTTCGAGACAACAGATGGAAAAGTTTACTTCACTGACCAACAGTTCATTATAGAACATCTCATTGACTTAGAGTCGAAATATTCTAAACTTTACAACAAACACAAAAAGTTGAAAGGAAAACAAAAACAAATGGCATATGATATTTATGAAGATGTTGACGACACAACTGTTCCTGCAAGTGAAGTAAAGTCAGAGGAACCGAAAAGTGACGAAAAAACGATAGAAGAAGAAAAACCAAAAACTGAAGATAAACCAAAACCAAAGTTTAGTTTCCAAACTAAACCAAGTCAACCTTCATTAGCTGGTATGGGTTGGCGTCAAAGACTTATGGCAGCAGGCGGTTATGTAAAGTAAAGAAAAAACATTTTTTATTTTTATAAAAATGCCCCCATATAGAATGGATAGAAAATCTGCTAGAATAAAAGCAGAGTTGCAAAGATATGGTTGGAGAGTTTCGAAGAAGTTTAAATATAGGAAGGGAAGACCCATAAAAGTCTATGACAAATTGTCTGGTCTTCGCTACGAAATGGATTTGGAAACAGCACGTGCCAATTATCCAAACAGACTAGAGAGGTTAGAAGAAGAACGTCTTATGGACATGCCTTTCGATGTTAGTGAACCTCAAGTTGAAGGACACGACGGCTTTGCCAGATTCTACTGGAAACATGACGAACAATTGCATCCTTTGAGAAGGAAAAAAGGTAGTGCAGAGGATGGTCATGCTCCCATGGAAAGAACAAGATATGCATATGAAAAGTACCGTGAAGTTAGAAGTCAAATTACATCTGGTCGAACCTTTACAGTAAACTTTGACGAAGGAAAGAACAAAGAAGGCTTCATGGGTGTACTTGCTGCAATTCAAGACGGAAATAAGAAAGGACACAATCTCAGATTGACCATAACGGATTTGGATGGTCACATTTACTATGCAAATGGCAATGAACAAACAGCCGCAAAACTTCTTGACGCTTTCAAGACTACAAAGAGAGAACAAATGGTTGACTCCGACTCAGACATTTTGAATGCAATTGAAGGAATTGCAAGTGTCAAGTTCGAATGGTACCAACCTAACCCTCAAGCAGTCAGACAACATGCTGGATACTTCCCCTTCATAAATAAGTCTGACATTGACTTGACAAGGTATGGAATTTACAATTCAATTGAAACAATTGTCAATGAACCTTGCATTCTTACATGTCTCAGGAACTCTGGTCTTGTTACAGATGAGAAGATGAAGTATCTTGAGTCATGTGTGAAGACAAGGTACATTCTCAGAGGTCAATTGGCAAAAATTGCACCGTTGGCAAATGTCAATATCCGAGTCAACATACCTACAGCTAAAGGTTCTTCACATGACGACTATGTTGTTGAGTTCAATTTACCATGGTTGAAGATTGCAATTGTCCACAACCACTTCATGTTGAACGAAAGTCTTACAAACCCATTGTTCGGAAAAGGCAAGTGCAACATTGTCAGAGCTGTAAACATTCTTTTCGAGAAAGGTTTGTTGGAACCAATTCCAGATGACAAGCTGACAGAAACTTTTGTACCAAAAGACGAAACAAACTTTTCACTGTTAGCAAGACCAAAAGTTGTTCCAGACAAAGTTCTAGTACAAAAGAAGTACACAATTCCAAAAGGAGTTGGATTGTTCGGATACCAACCTGAACCAGAAGAACTTCCAATGAGGTTGCAAGAACTTCAAGATGCTATAAACAAACTTCCATTGAGACATCCAATTGACGTCAAATTGTATTGGAGAGCATCTGAGTTAGGTCAGAAGGTTTTATATGAAACAGGTTGCTTCGACGATGTTTATGAGATAACAGGAGAAGTTTCTCAGAAGATAAGAGACTCACTTGAATTTCCACAAACTGGACCAATTGGTTGCGACAAGTTCGACTCAAACGAAAAGATATACTATGTCGACCTTAACGCTGCATACATGAGGTTTGTCCAATATATTCCGACTGGAATTCCAAACGAAGATGGTGAGTTCCCGGGAAGGAACTATACAGTTGGAAAAGTCATACAACAACTGTATGATATTAGGAAAGCTTCAAACCCCAAACTTGCAATGACACTCAAATTGCTTATGAATTCGACATGGGATATTCCATTAAGAAACCTCAAGAGATGAAGAGTAAACATTATGAGAAGGTCGACAACTTTGTTGAAAGGTTTTCTCCTTTTGTTTTGAAGTACGAATTCACTCAAGGTCAAAGTGGCTTAGTAACCACATTAAAACCTATTGTCGAACATTGGTCTTACCCTCAGTTCGCAAAGGCAGTCCTTGACAACTACAATTCTTCTCCGAAGTCAAATCCAAAGTGAAGGTTTACTATGAGAACATTGACGCACTCATGACGAACGAAGAAGGATACAACAAACTCATTGAAATGGGAATGGTCGGTGAAAAGATGGGCTGTTTTAAGCTAGATAAGGTATTTTCTGAAGTTCATGTCCTCTCCAAGCGTAAGTACTGGGGCATACTTGAAGACGGCACAGAAATAAAACATTGCATGAAGTAAAAATTTATTTTTAAAAAGTGACATTTTTTAATTTTATTTGAAATGTACGCTGAGTCTGCTAGAATAAAAGCAGAGTTGGGAAACTTGTTTGTTAGATGAGAAATATGAAATGGCATACCATTTTAAAACAATATATTTTTACATATATTAAATGCTTCAGGTTGAAAAACAAAGAACAAAAGTAGCAGATACAAAACCATTAGACTATATCTTTACAAATGCTGGTAGGACTATTTCAGATGAAGAAATTTCATCCCGAATATCAGGTTTGACTATCCAATTCGTTGGCTTCAAAGTCCTTCAGATGCAAAGGCAATAGGATTTAGAAGAGTTTTGTTTTCAAATAGAACTAACGCATTTATGTTCGCAGTATATTTTCATGGGCAGTATAAAGGTTCTGGTGGTCTAATAGACAAATTTGACGAAATGAGGATCTTTACAGTTCGTTCAGACGAAAGTCTTGAGAAAACTCTAAATGACTTTCAAACTCAAATGAACAAATATTATTGGGAATTTCAAGAAAAATACGACTCTTTACTAAATGGAACATACTATCTGAAACTAGAATATGACAAGATGAACTCCACCGTTTCATTTCAAAAGATTGAAATTAACCCTCCAAGAGATACAGAGTTTTTATATTGGAAAGTAGACAAACGTTCTTGGGCACAATTTCTTCGGTTACTAAACCAGAACGAACCATTACCACCAGATGGTCCATTTCAATTTATACTTCCACCAGCAGATTTGACAGTTTATAGAAACGTGTTTGACCCAAAATGTTATGTGTCATGCAAGTTTCAGTTCAAGCAACAATAGTTTTCTATGTATTGGTAAGGACTTTTATGACTTTGCTTCTAAATTCTACGAACCACCTAGTAACAGTTTCTCTGACTTTCAAGTTTGGTTCACAACAAATGGTGTGCAACATATTATTCCATTGTACTATGACTTTTATCTCGAATTGTCTTTCATATATAACTACGGAAAAGTGCTGAAAAAGTATTGAAAAATATAATTTAGGTGAAGAGGTGAGATCTCACCTGTTTTTTCACCTCTTTTTTCACCTCTTGAATTTGTCAAAACTTCTTCGTAAATGTTTTGTCAAGACTTCTTCGTAATGAGTGTAAAGGACCCAAAAATAATGTTTAGGTGAAGAGGTGAGATCTCACCTGTTTTTTCACCTCTTTTTTCACCTCTTGAATTTTCATGAATTTTCCCGAAATAAAAAAATAAAGTTAGTTTTATTTTTTTTTATTTTTTTATTTTGTATAAAAGATATGATTTCAACAATCGGCACAACAACAATTCAAACAACAGCACCAAACTCGTTAGTTATGAATCCTACGTCAATGTTAGTAGAAATGAAAAGCTTCATTCCTTCTTCATATACTTTCGAAACAAAAATCCAGAAGATAAAGCAAGAACTTTTAACATGTAATTTAGACTGTAGTGCGAAAGATGAAACAAATGAACAGTATCTTTATGAAATGGAGGACATTATTGACCATTTGCCTAAACTACCTGAAATCCAACAACAAAAACTAACTATTCCTGAATTCGATGAAATAGAAGTCAAAGCAACTGACTCAGTAGAAATAAAGAAGTTCATACGAAAGGTAAACTATGAGTTTCTAGGATTTCATTGCAACCATAAGGTTATGGACAAAGATTGCGACATGGTATATAAGAACATCTCTGACATATATAAATCTGAAGAATTTAAGACCTACGACAACTTTGTTTCGTTAGTTGCTGAATGTGTATGGCAGATAAGAGATAAAGATAGAAGAGGTAAGGTATGGAATGAACAAATAAAACCAACTGCTTCAGATTTAAAGAAAACCATTGACGCTTTAGTTGTTTTAGCAGGTAAGGTTTCAGAATATAACGCAAAAATGAACCCGCAATGTTCTAAATGTAAAGCAGCAATGAGGAGATATAACTACTCAGTCAAAGAGATAGAAAGAATGAGAAACGACTATGCAGACTTAAAGAAAGAAGCAGAGAAACCAGCAGAAGATAAAATGGACATGTTAGAATTTCTGAACAAAAACTATCCAACAGCAGAAGATTTCCTTCTATCTGACGTCAAGAAGAAATATAAAGAGACTTTCGGCATAGTTAAAACATTCGATATCCTCAGCGAAGAAATAGAAGCTACAAAACTGTTTAGAATTTCAAATATACATCGTACAATTCATGTAAAACGCTTATAAAATAACTGAGGTGAAAAAACAGGTGAGATCTCACCTTCTACCCTAAAATATATTTTTGCTGAATTCAGCACAAAATTCTGAGTAAAATGGCATATGGCTTGTGTCAAACCGTTGAGTTTTCACAAAATTTAAAAAATAACGTTTACCATGTAAAACGCTTATAAAATAACTGGGGTGAAAAAACAGGTGAAAAAACGGGTGAGATCTCACCTCTTCACCTAAACATTATTTTTGTCTGATTTACGCTCATTACGAAGAAGAAGTCTTGACAAAACATTTACGAAGAAGTCTTGACAAAACATTTACGAAGAAGTCTTGACAAAACATGTACGAAGAAGTCTTGACAAAACATTTACGAAGAAGTCTTGACAAAACATGTACGAAGAAGTCTTGACAAATTCAAGAGGGTAGAAAACAGGTGAAAAAACAGGTGAGATCTAACCTTCTACCCTAAAATATATTTTTGCTGAAAAAAATGACCAAATTTCATTATATAACTGTTATTTTTTTACGAAGAGAACTTTTGCACTTCGTCAAAAAAATCCCTGAAATCATATCTTTTATACAAGATAGAAAATCTTACTCGCCTAAAACTCATGAAAATCGTAAAAAATTGCGAGTAGGTAAGAAACCCCAGTCGCCTAAAACTCATGAAAATCGTAAAAAAATGACCAAATTTCATTATATAACTGTTATTTTTTTACGAAGAGAACTTTGACACTTCGTCAAAAAAATCCCTGAAATCATATCTTTTATACAAGATAGAAAAAATAAAGTTAGTTTTATTTTTATTTATTTTTTTATTTTGTATGTAAAGACATATATGTCAAACATTGAGTTTGAAACAGTTAGAAAGATAGACAATAACACCAAATTGGTTAGAATAGGTGATTTAAACGTAAGATACTCAAAGAAATACAACAAATATTCTTTGTCAGACATTATATTTCCATCTGGAAAGAAAACAAAGGACTGGGTTAGAAATGCTTCAACTCAGAAAATTTTGACAAGAAATCCTGAGCTTATGATATCGGTAAGATTCTATGGAACTACAGCATATCTTATAGACAAAAGTCTTATACCAATAGTTTTGTTATGGTTAGACCCAGTTGTTGGATATAACTTCATAACATATGGTTCATTCGATACGGAACGTTGCAGTGAAGGCTTACTTTACATCGTTCAGAAACCGAAGGACTTCAATACAAAGAGATATAAGATAGGAAGAACATATAATATAACTCAAAGATATGACAGTACAGTCAATAGAGTCAAGGTTGTGTTCGTTAACGATATGAGAGCTGCTGAAACAGAACTACTTGAAAAGTTTGAGAAAATATATGGTGCTCCCATAAAAGGTAAAGAAACGTTTGAAGTGGATGAGATAGATAAAGCTATAAAATTATTTGACGAAGTTGCTGAAAATACATGTAAAGCGTTTATTTTTGGTCTTTTGTGAAAGTCAGAAAATAAAGTTAGTTTTATTTTTATTTATTTTTTTATTTTGTATGTAAAGACAGATATGTCAACATCAGAGAACACAACAACAGTTATAGTCCATGAAGCTATAAATGAAGAATATGAGTGGGTTCAGTTTAACAAACAACTCCGTCTCATTCGTTCGGTCAAAGACGATATGTACCAAATGCAAAGTATTTTGACAGCATGTTTTGCTCCAGATACTAAACACGCAGACGACTGGTTCAAAAACCAAAGCACACAAGAACTTTTGAGTGAAATTTCTCTAGACCGACTTTTTTCGGCCATGCATAAAACACATGAAAATCGTAAAAATTTGCCAATAAATTTAAGAGGATATTATGTACATAGACTTTTAGTAAATGCAGTTGCAATGTGGGCTTCTCCTCGTTATGCATGGCATGTTTACAGACTTCTTGACGAAATTCATAGACAAGAACGTGAAGAGATGGAAAAGAAACTTCAAGCAAAAGATGAAGTCATTGAAGCAAAAGATGAAGTCATTGAATCCAAAGACAAAAGCATTCAGAAAAGAATACCACGTTCGGTACCAAAAGGAAAGGAAAAGAACTATAAGTATATGATTTATACTGAAGAGATGGAAAATGAAGAAGATAAAGATATGGTTATGTTGCATTTAGTCAGAAGAAACAACAAAAGCTTTTACGACCTTGCTAAGATTTACAAATCTGACAGAAATTGGTTCTATCGCGAAAACTTACCGATTTCAATGACACCGAATGAAGATGTGAAACAAATAGTTCAAGATACGTTACCTCAAACACACTATGATATTAAAGGTTGTACAATACTTACATTCAAAGAAGACTTACCATTGTTAAAGGAAAAAATAACAGAGTATTTTGACAACTTCAAACAAGTAGAGTAGATGAGCCATTTATTTTTACGCTTGACTTCAGATGGCTCAGGTAGCTCTATAAAGTAAATTGCCTCGTCAAATCCTTCTGGCATTCCGAGTCCTTCCTTCCGACAGAAAAATATTTTCCCGACAACTGGAAAAAAATTTCCTTCCGACAGGAAAAGTTCTTCCTTCCGACAGGAAAAAATTTTCCAGTTGTCCGTCCGTAAACCATTCAAATTTTCGAAAATTGAGAACTTTTTGGTCGAACTTCAGGAAAAGTTTTTCCTTCCAACAGAAAAAGTTTTTCCTTCCGACAGAAAAAGTTTTTCCCGACAACTGGAAAAGTTCTTCCTTCCGACAGGACACAAACGAATGTCTCACGTCCCTCTTCCTGAATGCCTTCCAAAGCCAGAAGAACCGACAGCCCCCACCACAACAGACCACAACAGACTTACTAAGACTAAACACTTACATTTTTTCAAGCTTGACTTTTTACAATTTGAACTTTGTTTGCGTAGATATGAATTCTGAAAGAAGTATGAGGGTCTTGTATGACTTTGTACTTCTCCCATAGTTCATGTCTGTCAAACTTACCTGCCATGGACTCTTTCATAAGTTCCATGAAATCGTCTTCGGACAATCCGGGGAAAAGTATAATGTCAGTAAGTATTCTTTTAACATCCTTACTTAAACTCTTTGCTGTCTGTACACAAATGACAACTGAGATGTTAAAGTGTCTGAGCTTCTTAAGAATTCGACACATATCTTGTTCTCTATTCTTAAGCAAAGGATGAGAGGCGAAATCATCTAAGATAAGAAGACACCTATGAGGGTATGTCTTCCAATCGTAAGATTGCAATTTCTTCGAAATGTATTCTATCTCTTTCTGTTTGTTTCTGAAGTGTTTCTTCTCTAATATTCTCTGCATTTCCTCATTTGGGTCTTTAAACTTAGAATTTATATACTCATTTATAGCATTATACTTCAAAACTCTTCTTTGGTACTTCTTTATCCAATCTAACAACTCAGAGTCTTTTATACATACTAACTTAGACTTCTTTATAATATCTTTGAACGAATTGACGGTTTGGTCAAATTGACCAGAAGTACTACAAATAACAACTAACTCATAGAATGGGTTCTTCTCATCTAGTTCTTGTTGTTGTGCAGCCATTTTAAGATAAGTGAAAGTCTTACCCGACCCAGGTGGTGCAATTAGACCTGTTATACCATTCTGAGCAAATAAGAACTTGTCATGTATAGGCTTTATCTGAGCATTTTCTAACTTCCTCTTGTTCTTGTTTAAAACATTCTCAAATTTTTTGTCAATGTCAGCAAACTTTTTTTCTAACATATTTTAGAAAAATTAAAAATTTTATCTTTTAGAAAATGTCTAGCGATTTCGCTATCTATATTCGAGACAAGCTTTTCGACAGCAAAACATCTGTCGACCATAAAATCTTACATAGTGTAAACAAGAAAGGTGAATTTGTTCTAAAGTTCTGTTTCTGGAATATGACAAGAACCATAAAACATTAAGCAGAGCAGTCTTAAAATTTGTCAATGACAGACTTGTTGACAGAGATGACGCCGATTGGAAAGATGAAGTCCAACAAAAGTTCTTAGAATGCAAAGAAGACACATGCGCTGTTCTTGAAGATGAAATAGAAAACAGAATAGATGAGCTATTAAAGGACAAAGAACTTTTACAGAAATATGGTTCGGAGAAATTTGACATAACTCCACCAGAGAAGAAGAAGAAGAAAGAAAAGAAAGAGAAAAAAGTAGAAGAGAAGAAAGAACCTGAACCAGTTCCAGAGAAAAAGAAATTTGACATGTAAAATAAAATTTTATTTTTAGAACATTTCTGGGTCAATGTCAATGTTCTCTTCCTCTTTAGGGCAAACACTGGCTTAGACTCTAAAATCTTTTTACCCAATTTACCTTGAACTTCAACTATCTTAGACTCATAATATTCATAGTCGTCTGTCTTCTTTGGTTCATAAGGTATAACAAGTTTGTATGCTTTGCCTTCTTTAAGGTTTGAGAACCTTCTGTCAAAAATTTTCTTTGACTGCTAACAAACCTTCTATGTCTAAGTCTTCAAATTTCGCACCATTTTTAGTCACAATAGCAAACTTAACTGGTTCGATGTTCCAAACTTTGCTGAATGAAGACTTTTCAAAATGTAGAAGTAAACATTCAAATATGTGAATGGGTCTAGTTCTTCTTTAAGTCCTGACATGTACTTGTTTACTGAGATGAATTTTGTCATCTTTTCTATCGGATAAAAAAATATTTTTTTTAAATTTACTCAGAAAAATTTTTCTTTGTATAACACCATTCTGAACATCTAAAAGACTTTTGACATTTGCCAAGAATGTTCGTTTAGACGCTGTCATATAACCATATTCTTGACAATATTGTTTATACGAATCGTACAATGACCTTTCATCTAAACACTCAAAGTCAGTTTCATCTATGAACAGTTCATATACACTCTTGTTTGCTTCTAACAATGTTTGTCTCTCTTCTGTATGTGGAATTTGTCTTGGATTGAACTTAGAAATATCTAATGTCATAAAATATGAGAACAAGTGGTTGTAAAAGTCAGATGTCAAGTTTCTGCTAAGTCGTCAAAATATTCTGTATCTTGCATATGAGAATCTGACGTTCTGACAACTACATATCTTCTGTCAGAACTTTCTAACTTCATCGGAACAGCATTGTTTGAAACCATAATGAAGTTTGCAACATTTTCACAAACTCTTTGGTCTTTATATTTTCTTTCAACAACTCCAACTTTGTCTGTTATAAGACTCTTCAAAGCATCTGAGTCAAAACTTTTGTTGTATCTATACTTTGAAGTTCATTGCAAACTATAAGTTTCATATTCTCTATTGAGGAGTTAAATTTACCGCAGATGTTTCTAAGTTTGTCATATTCGGGTTCGAATAGCCCTCTAACAGTTTGCACAAAATATCTGTAAAGAATGTGTTCTTACCAGTTCCTTGTTTTCCAATTATATAAGGAGCAGTTTCATTTTTAGCACTTGGATGTTGTAAGATGTTGCAAACCAACATAAGATATACTCATAGACTCTTTCGTTTCCATTGCATATAATTCTTTGACATGGTCTAACCAAGCTTCTATAACATTTTCTTTCCATTCTACTTGTTCATATTTATATCCAGTGAAGATAGAATGAAGTTTGGAGAAGGTGTATAGAACTTTATACCTCGAACTGAAAAATCTTCTAACTTTGACAATAAGATATCCCAAGCATCTAACATCTTCATGCCAACTTGTACGACTTTTATTTTCTTAAGTTCTGTCTACATTCTTGTTCTGAAACTATTGTCGCTTTAGGTTTGTTAAAGACTACATCCCATTCTTTCATAACATAAATTCTGGGGCAGAGTCGACATAAATGACTAAACGTTTCAAATTCTCGACTGCTTTGTTATAGTCTCGAAATGGACACATATTTCTGAATGCTTGGAAGTCATAAAATCTGAAACATCTATTCTGTACATTTTTATAAAAATAAAAAAAAATATTTTTTTTTATTCTTGTTTGTTGTTGCATTTGTTGCATTTGTTGTTCTTGAGCTATTTGTTGTTGAAGTTGTTCTTGTAATACAATACTTTCACCAGTTGCATCTTCCAATTCGAAACTTGCCGTCATTGACAAATACATAGGACATAAAAAGTTTTACAGGAACAAAGTTTGCGTCAACTAAGGTTACAGGTTAATGTATTGCACAGCGCTTGAGTTCACTAAAGGTCTGAAAATTCTGCATCTGAATGAACAATCAGGGCAAACCAGCAGAGATATTGCTTATAACGCATAGATACTTTTGTATAGATAGATTTCTCGACCATATCGGAATAGAACTTTGACCAATTTAAACAATATTAAAGATAGGTGTACTTTAAAGGTCAATGGATAGACATTCCTTGTATAACACTTTTTCCTGTTATAAGTAACTGTTGGTAGTAAAACCAGAATAATTTTGTATATATAGCTCATATCGTTTATAGTAAACACAGTCGGACATCCAACACATAACGAAACCTGCTCTAGTTGCAGCACATGTTCACCCGTACTTATAAGTATTAAATAAGGTCAACAAAACCTGTGTGGTTATATCTGAGTAAGTATCTTTCAAAGAGTTATTTTACCATTCACAACAAAAGTCTTCTCGTGGTGCAAAAGACAAAACAGGTTTAGTTCTTCATTTGTGTTTAAAGTTCAGTCTTCAAACTCGTCCTTGCGAGGACTTTGTAAGTTTGTTGTATATAAATTATATGATCGGTTGTTTTTCAGTCGTAATGAGTATACCATTATGTCTTCTGCCATACTTAGCAAAAAACTTAATGAATTTGTGTTCGTTCAAATATTTTAATACGTACACTGGGAACGTTTATCAAAGTTTCACCTCCTTCATAACGTATATCTTGCAATGACATATATATGAAAACACCCACAGCAAGCATGCGGTCTATTTCTTGATGTTTATTTCGTCTCCTCTGTCAAAAGTTTCAATATTTCTATTCAAAATTTTCATAAGTGCAATCACATTGAGTACTTTACAGCGTTTGTGTCAACCAAGTTATAACTTAACCCACAAGCACTTAAATCCTGATTTGACAGTTTGCTTTAGTTTGTAGCGTTTCGAATCTCAACAAACTTAATCTCTCTAACGTCGGCTGTTGTTCTTACAAACTAATGTATTATATACCATCTTTTCTTCGTATGGTTCCCACTTCAACATATCTTTCTTTGACTTGACATACACTTGATGTTGGTTTAGTTGGTGAATTTACTCACATCTCACGCATTTAACCTTTGAAAACACTTACGCTTCTATTTTTTCGGGAAATGACATTTTACTAGTAATAAAAAGCTATGAGGATCGAGTTCTCTTCGAAATGAAGCACCCAAGTTACCACACACTAAACAATACCAAGTTCATGACAGATTAGTTCTTTCTATAACAATGGAAAATGTTAGAATAGCGTCTTGTGACAAAATTTATAAGCAAAGAAAGTTGTAAACAGGAGTTGGAAGTTCTGCAAGCAGACAAATCTAAACACAAACTGACATATATTCTAAAGAATTTATATTACATTTATGTCAAACTGCCTACTTCAATATTCTACGGAGAATCATCAAGAAAACTTCTGACTCGCTGCCAACAAAAATTCTCGATGAAGTTCTCATACCACTCTTAGGCCCAGCATTCATCAACGACATCTTCAAAAGGAGACACTTCCGTGAAAGTGCTATTTGTTTGATAAAACTTCTTTTGCTCTCATTCATCTGGACCTCCTGTACCGATATATGTATATTAACTGTCACCAACAGTTAATTACCATAATGTCTTCCGATCGCAATGGAATCCAAGCCAATTACGTTCCATTTTAATATTGAGTTTTTTGACCTCCCTGTATTGAGTCATACTTCACATAGCATATAAATTCTGAAAATTTCAGGTATGTGTTGAAGTTGTGTTAAAGATGCATAGCATCTACATACAAGTTGTTACCTCATATCCTCAACTGAGATTCTTCTTTTGATATATTTCCATCTATGTTATATGATATTAATCAGGGGCTAGAGACAAGAATAGTAATTTATATCGTCCTGACCATACAACAGAGTATCTCAGTTCATTGCAGATTTAAACAATATCTGCTTCTTCTACCTGGTCCGCACCTTTGGTTTCCCTTCACCGCAAAGTCATTCACAGATTTGTGATACGAACATAAGTGAACTTGCAAAATATATGCAGGCTAAAGATTAAACTAGCTGTCCACATATTAACTGCAAGTCGCTTTCCTATTTCTCTGCAATTCAAAACTTTCGCCATGTTGAACTTACTGAGTCCCAAGCACTTCCAGCAGCAATTGAAAGAATAGTTTACTCATTGTGAGGTGTGAAAATAGACCAAAAAGTCTAAGTCAACTTTGTTTTTGACAAAATCGGGCGGAATGACATTTATTTGTTCCCACTAATTCGTAAGAAAATGGGTCTTCATGGGTCATGACTAAGTATTTTTGCTTGAGTAAATTCATAAAATTTTCACTCTGCCCATTTGCAAGTATATCTTTAAAAACCTGAAGAATTAGGAAAATGACAAAGGAACTCTAAGTATCAAGTTTTACTTGAGTGACTGCTGCTGCATTTGTCCAGAAGGTTAACTAAACTCCTGCGAACGTTGTCAAGTCTCGATTTTCTCATAGTTGCATACTTTTTCTTTTCTCCTAGCTTGCGTTCTGATACGAGTTTCTCAAACAAACATTCATAGTTTGCCCTTACTGGATGAAACTAAGTCAGAAGTTAATTATATCTTATATCCCATGGAAAACTTCTGGAGCATATTGGTATCGACATAGAAAAATCATTGCAACTTCTGTAAAACAACTTGGCAGAAGGTGTTATTTCAATGATTTTTTCACGGTAGAATGATGTCAATAGAAAAATCAATATGAAACCTGTGTTCGCAAAGGCAATATCCTACTGTTGGTTCTGAATAACCTTTCTCCAAACTCAACGTATAACGTTTCCATAAGAACACAGTGTAATTTCGTAATTCCATGAACAATTTCTGACATAATCTTGGCAATCTGTCCTCGAATCATAAACAACCTCACCTACACAATATACCATCGGAACATTTCCTTCAATGGCAGCCAAACTCGTTGGCGATATATTACTGACGCCATCACCTACATTTCATACTGAGTAAAATATAGAAATCATTGGATTTATATTATTCATAAATATAAGCCCGTGGACAAAGCTCCCATACTTACTTCACTGAACTAGTCAAACGTCTAATCATTTCTAAATCCTCCTTTCCTCATTGCCCTCTGCTTGAAACGAAAGTCTTATCATCTTTGCATTAATCCGTAACACTTCTAAGTTCATTTGACCTAAATTTCCAATGTCCTTTTTTGCCTTTGGGGACCATCTGCCTCAGTTCCACCATCTCAAGTTAACTATTATCCTAGAAAGAGATTTTCATAGTGTTATTGATCTATCGCTTTGTTGCTATGAAACCTTTCTCTTGGAGTTCCGGTTTTCAACTCTCTCAAACGATGCCTGTCCCATATTTAATAGGAACCCAAAACATTCGAATATCAGCAGAACAAAATAAACTGCAAAAAGGTAAATTCGATAAGTTAAATCAACAATTAACGGAAATCAAAGACCAGAAAGATATATTCGAAAAAAGATGCTCTGAATTGAATTCTGACAATATACGCCTTGTTCAAATATTACAGAAGCAAAAAGCAAAATTGCAATCGTTAAAAAGTTATATAATCGAATCTGAGAAGAATAAGGAAACACTTATGGATCAGCAAGCCGAAGAAACAATAAATCTACTTCGTAGTAAACTTTCTTCAACAAAAGAGAAGCTTAAAGAGCTTGAAAGTCAAAATAATCAATTAACTCAGGAACTTCAGATAAAAGATGCAAAAGGGTCAACAGAGATTAACGCTGCTATTCAAAGTCTACAAAATTCTGTCGATTCAGTTACAAAAGAAAACGCTAGACTCCAATTAAAAGCTGATAAATACAAAAATATGAAACAGCAGTATGAAGAAATGAAAATCAAAGCTGATAAGCTTCAAAATGATCTTACAAGATACACAGATGTTGATAATCGTCTAAAATCCTCAGATTCTACTGTTGAATCACTTCAAAAAGTTATAGATGCATTAAGAACTGAAAATAATCTTCTGAAATCTAAACTTGAGAATATTCCATACCAGAAATTACAATCTGAATTGATTGAAATCAGATTTGAAAGAGATTCTTTGTTAACTGATCTTAAAAAATGTGAAGAAAAACTTTCGAAGAAAACAGACTTAGAATCTCAAAATGCAGAACTCACAAAGAAAGTTGATGAACTCTTCCAACGATTGAAGGATGCTGCTCAGAGAGAAACTGATTTATCAGCGAAACTTCAAAGACAAATGACAGAAAATGGCGAAATTTTAGCTGTTAGAAGAGAACTTGCTTCTATTCAAGAAGAATTGGTTGAGAAAGAAAAGAAAGATGCTAAAGTTGCTGAACAAATTTGTTTCTATAAATCAGAAAACAAAAAATTGAGAAACAGAGTTTTACAACTAGAAAAATACATCAACAGAGAAAAATCAGAAAAAACGGAAGAGAAAACTGTTGAATCTTCAAAGAAACCTGGTGATGGAAGAGAAATAACTAAAACAACCACTCACATAGTGGAAACTGTCCAAAAGCATCACAGGCATAGATCACACTCGAAAGATCAAAAATAATACTATTACGTATATTAAATTAATATGTTTTGTTTGTTAAAAAATTCTATTTAGAATTCCTCAAATATTTTTTGCTCTCATAACCTATATCCAATTCTCATGTTTTTACATGATTCATATTTTGCTGCGTTATCAAGGATTCCTTCAGGTTTTTCAGCATTGTTATTCCTATTATTATTGTTTCTCAATTGTTGTTATTGAACTTTAATAAAATGAAACTTTCCGTTCCCTTTGATTACATCAATTAAATTTTCCAGCGATTTTGAAAAACTCAAAAATATTTCATTAAGTTAGCATCCAATGTATGAGAAGAAATAGACAAGCAAAATGAACTGTAGATGATTCCAATCTCTATGTGCTAAACAATCCATTCAAACAATCTCCAAGATGTGAATGTTAAAAAAAACAAATTCAAATATTTTTTTGTAATTTTTTTACCTATTATAAAAAATTAATGGAGAATGCCTGCAGCACGGAGTTTCATGAGAGCGTCTCTGATGTGTGGATCTCCTAAGTACTTCTGAGCAGCCATTGGGTTCTCCTGCATCTGTCTGAGAACGTTGTTGATTGTTGGGTCCTGCATGATTCTCTGGATCTCTGGGTCAGCCATGGCGTGGCGGATCTGTTCCTCATCTGGAGCAGAGTAAGAGTTCTTAGCGATTGCGGCGTTGACTGACTGGATTCCTCCGATGGCTTCTGCGCAGTTTGGATCGATTCTCAAAGCCTCGTTGTAGTCATCGAGAGCCTTGTGGTACTCCTTCATCTGGATGTGGCAGTAGCCCTTCCTTGTGTATGCTTTGACGAATTTCGGATCGAGTTCGATGGCTTTGTCGCAATCCTTGATGGCCATTGGCATTTCACCGAGTTTTGAGTATGCGCCTGCTCTGTTTGAGTATAATCTGGCATCGCGTGGTGCACGTTTGATGGCTTCGTTGTAATGCTGAATGGCTTGTGGAATATTACCCTCTCTGAAGCATTTGTTGCCGGCTTCCTTCTCCTGCTCGGCAATCTCTGGGTTCTCGTAAGCAGCAGCATCGCGCTTGGCCTTTAACTGCTCGAGGCGAGTCAATTCGCGCTTAACTGTTGGATCCTTCTTCTCGAGGAGGGAAGAGTTAAGAGCTGCGATGGCGGCTTCGAGGTTGTTACGAGCTGCTTCAGCTGTAGCAATCTTTGTGTAGGCTTTAGCGATTGATTCGTAATCTGCGTGGTGTTGGCGGCCTGTTTCGATACCTTGTGTTGCGACATCGACAGCCTCCTGGTACTTCTTAAGCTTGGTGAGAGCTGTTGCCTTGTTGTTGTAGAAAGTAACATTTGTTGGATCGATCTCTATGGCCTTGTTGTAGTGCTCGATGGCGCCTTCAATGTTGCCCTCCTTGAAGAGCTTGTTGCCTTCGTCCTTCTCGGCTTCGGCTTCTTGATTGACCTTCTTCTCCTGCTCAGCCTTTGGTTCTTCGGCCTTTGGAGCTGGTTTTGGTGCTGGCTTGACTGGCTCCTCTTCGTCATCTTCATCCTTTGGTGCAGCGCCGCCAGCATTTTGATTTCCTTGGAACTGCTTGAGGAATGGCTCAAGGAGGACCTGCATGCAAACACTAACGCGCTGATCGCCCATGTAGTTCTGCAAGCTCTTTGGATCGGCCTTGATGGCGTCCATTATCTTGACAAAGTTTGGATCACTGAAGAAAGCAGCGGTCTTTGGATTGTACTTGAGACTCTCAATGTTCTCTGGTCTGAACATGTTTGAAAGGCTTGATAAGAACTCATTTCCGGCAGCTTCTTCTTGCTTAAGCATGTTTTCGCATGTAGCAAGGTCTTCCTGAGCACCAACATTTCCTGGGTCAAGCTCAAGAGCCTTCTTGAAGGCATCACGAGCACCAGCCCAATCCTTAAGTCCTTGAAGAGCTGCACCAAGGCGTGTGTGACCACGTGGCCAGTCTGGCTTGATTTCGATAACCTTTCTGGCATCAGCAGCAGCCTGCTGGTACTTCTGGGAAGCGCAATATGAACCAGATCTGTTGGAATAGAGGGTATAATTTGTTGGGTCCATATCGATAGCATCTGTATAAAGCTCAATAGCACGTGGATAGTTCTTTTCAGCGAAAGCCTTGTTACCAAGTGCCTTAATCTCGTCGACAGTTGACATCACTCTAGATCGTTATCCGACCACTTATTTCGTGTTCAAAATTTTTCGGGCTACTAACTGTATAAATCACCATACTACATATGGAATGTACGGAATTATTCTTAAAAACGAGATGGGGCCTCTTATCGAATGATTCAATAGATAATTTGATCCAAAAAGCCACTCTCAACAAATAATTCTGATCACCAACTAAAATAATAGTAGCTAAAATGGAAAATCAAAGGAACTAATTTCCAAAAAAATTCTAAAATTAAAATTAGTTTTGAAAGAATTTAAGAGTTTTCCCTCATTTTTTAAAATTCAAGATTTTTTTGGAAAAATTAAATCATAAAATATATGCTATTTTAGTTTTTTTTCATTAATATCAGTTGAAATATACTTCATATCAGAAGATAATTATTTCGAAAAAATTTAATTAAAAGAATAGATAGCATTTTAGTTAGGACATCAATCCACTCGTCTAATTCAACAATCCCAAGAAAAGATCAATGGTATAAAGAAAAAAAAAATAGAATAATTATTAATAATTCAAGGAATTATTTATTTAAAAGCCACCACGAAGGCGGAGAACGAGGTGAAGGGTGGAATCCTTCTGGATGGAGTAGTCCTGAAGTGTGTTGCCATCTTCGAGCTGCTTACCAGCGAAGATGAGACGCTGCTGATCTGGTGGGATACCTTCCTTGTCCTGGATCTTGGCCTTAACGTCCTCGATACGGTCTGTTGGCTCGACTTCAAGTGTGATGTGCTTGCCTGTAAGGGTCTTGACGAAGATCTGCATACCACCACGAAGACGAAGAACGAGGTGAAGGGTGAAATCCTTCTGGATGGAGTAGTCCTGGAGTGTGTTACCATCTTCGAGCTGCTTACCAGCGAAGATGAGACGCTGCTGATCTGGTGGGATACCTTCCTTATCCTGGATCTTGGCCTTAACGTCCTCGATACGGTCTGTTGGCTCAACCTCGAGTGTGATGTGCTTGCCTGTGAGTGTCTTGACGAAGATTTGCATTAAGAAAAATGAACTGAACGTTTAAAAACCATTCAAAAGTACGAAAATTTTGGTTAGACAGTATTCAATTCTGTTTTGAATCCAAAATAATCGGATTTTGCCCCCAAAAATTAATCTTGACTGAGAGTTCGATTCTACATTTGTTGCATAGATAACAATTGAATTTTAAGTTCCATTTGATCAAAAAATTTTCATCCAATTTTTTTTCCAAGCTGAGGTTGGTTTTTTTTTTGCAGTCAAAAATATTTCCACGAAAAATTTTGATGCCAAGTATTGAAATCAGCTAGTACATAACCCTGTTTGATCGAAATGGAAAAATATAGGCAACATGACAAGAAATATAAAATTTACCATCAGTGAATACTCCAAATATAACATATAAACAACTAAAATTTACTAAAAATACGAGAGTAACAATAGAGATGAGAGGTGAAATTAGAGAAAACAATATTAAATCTTTTGAACACATGATGTTTCGCAAATTGAATCATTAACCTAGTATTTTGGGCTTAGTATGCTTCGATTCGTAATCGAAATCATGTGAATTGACCTTATTGAGAAGGATCAAGTGTAAAAGTTTTGTCAAATCTTTTTAAAATTTCGTTTTCATCAAATACACCTTGAATAAAAGCTGTAGCAATCAAATTTCCAACAGCTTGACGAGATCTATCATCCTCTTTGTTATTTTTCCTTAATTTGTTTAATAAAGTAGCATATAAAACCAAGAAAGCATTTTTCATTCTTATTTCTTCATTCTGATCAGCATATACCATATTTGTTCGTATTATATTATCTGGATCTGGAATTGTAAAGTATTTCTCCGTGTCAAACGCGCAAGGGATATCGAATATATCACTATCGAGTTCGGTTTCATCTGAGTTTTCAGGTTCAGGAGTTTTCTTGCTACCTTTTAATGGTTTTTTTGTCATTATATTTGAAAAAAGTGCCAAAATTGCGTTTTCGAGTTTACAAAAATTTTCTAAACGCAAAAAAACTTTTTAACTCATGAATAACGAACACTCACACGACGGCAAAGTAAAAGTACGTGTACGTGTTCAAAGAAGGAAATATGATAGTAATGGCAATGAAATTCCTCACAATCATCAGCATTCATCAACAAAAGATTCAAATAATTCAACAACAACGAATCAAACCACAAACACATTGACATCACAAACATTGGTTCCAGCAACAACAAATGATCTTACCACATTAAATTTGAATACTCAAAATCAATTACCTGAAAAACAAAGTAATGTTCGATTAACACGACGTAGAAAGAAAGTAAATACCGTTGGAAAGAAGAAACACTTCGAAGAAATCGACGAAGACGGAAATTTCACAGAAATAGATGAAAACACTTACGAACCAGCATTGATACGCTATAATTCGAGATTTGTTGGAAAAGGACCATTTGACTCTACGACTTACACAGAATCTACAATAGAAACAGGAGCAGAACAAACAATGGAAACTGAGGTTGAAAAAACAGCTGTTCCACGAACAACTCAATCCTTTACAAGTTTTGTAGGTACTGCATTAGCACATGAATCTCGTACCGGCGAAGAAGAAGATTCAGAGGCAGAAGTTCAAAAATACGTTCCAAGAGATTTTGATACATTCGGTTTGGCCGAAGATAGAGATTTGTCATACCTGTATCCTAAGCCAGAACAGAAGAAACCAAATGCAGAATGGCTAAAAAAGGAACAACCTGCAAAATTAAATCAATTTAGCGCAAAAGATGACTTAGAAGTTATTGAATTCGAGCCTTTCTTCCAGAAGGAGAAGAAATTCAGCCGTAAAACATTTAAATTCGATAACAGACCTCAAGATGAGTCCGAATCTCTTTCTTCTATTGTTAATACGTTTAATGATGAATTAGATTCAAATACAGATACAACACCACCTCCAGACCTTCCTAAAGATAAGTACATCATTGAAAGTATCGAAAATGAAGATCAATTAATTGAAATTTATCAAACAGGATCAGATTCGATGGAAATTCAAAACAAGGACAATCAAAATCCAGAAAAATCATCTGTTAAAGAAGAAAAAGTTCAAAATGAGTCAGAATCTCTAAATCAATCTGAAAATGGATCAAAGAAGACCTCTAAATCCAGTGCATCTATTAATAATGCACCACAAGGATCAGTTAAATCTAGTTCTTCTAAATCCAATTCCTCGAAAACTGATAATAGTTCAATTTCTGCTAAACCAACAGCAGAAAGATCAATCAAGTCACATCAAAGTAGTTCTAAGGCAGAGAACTTATCTACTTCGTCTAGAAAATATTCAGATTTAAGATCAATCAAATCTTCCGCTTCAAGGCAGAGAAGCGACAGAGAATCATATACAGGATCTATTAAACCTCTTCCTCCAACAGATCCAAACAATCCTAACTTTGTTGAAGAAGATATCGAAATTCTTCCAATTAATACTAATACAATTACAGAACAGAAATCAGAGCCACAAACAGCTTCCAAATCGTACACTGATGAATATACTACTGTTTCCGAACTCCAAACTGCTACTTCTGGCACTGCAGAGTACGCTTTGTTCACAGGACCAAGCGGAATACAGCCAGGCGTAGATTACTATGTCGAACTTTCTATTCCTGAGTCATCTCATACTCATGATACCTCTCAAAGTGGCGTAGAACTCGCTGAAGACGATGATTCATCTAAATTCTCTGATCTCAAGGAAATTGAGGATGTCTCTGAAAGAGATGATTACTAAATAATTCTTTTTATTGTGTGTTTGTTAAAAAATTCGTATATTTTTCAAATATTTTGAATTATTGAAAAATTATCTTGAAAAACGGTAGGATTACGTAATTAGAGGCTTTATTCTCCTTATCAAACAAATATAATGTGAAGAAATAAAATTTCCATTTGAAAAGACTGAATTAGCTTATTGAACAAGTGAATCATGTAAGTCTGTCTCTTGCTGACTTGCAAGTGGTCTAGGTTTATTGCTAAACCATTCGATTTTGATTGTAATCACGAAAATAATTAACCAAGCAACAAAAAATCCAAGGGTTGTATACAATCCAAGTGTTCCTTTTGGAATTTCATCAACTTGAACATGTTGAATTTCTGATGATATCATTCCAAAAAATAAGAAAAGAAAACTCATTATTTTTATCACTTTTTGGGTTCATGAAGTGGATATCATCATTGTTTATCTTCACAAACAATAGGCAATAACACATCAAAGCGAAAAATTCTGAAATTAAGCCAAAATCACAAATTTTTGATTATAATTTTTCAAAAAATTGCAATGGATTATTAATATAGCTTCAAGCAAATAATAATATTTATTTATTACAAAAAATCTATAAGTTACCAAAATATTTCTGGACAATATACAAGAATATTCTGAATCTGTTTGAATCTTCTCCAAAAATATCATTTTTGGTAATGGATTTATTGGAAAATTCGATAAATATGAAACCTATCAATTCTTTCATTTTCTCTCTCTGAAAACGCATGTTAGATATGATATTTTCAGGTAATGTCACTAAATTAGCAATAAATCTACATACATTAACATGGAATAAAGGTATTTTCTCTTGATTTTTGATAAAGTAGTATAGGACTGAGCAAACCTTTCTTATTTTGTCTATATGATTAATAATATTAAAATTCTCAAAAAATTTCGATATAAATTCATTACCAATGCCATAATTATATTTCGAGTATGCAAGAGATATTAATAGCATTGATATATCCTTATATTTGTCGTCATATTCTTCAAATTTGTTAAAAATTGAAGAAATGAACATATTTCCTATATTTTCATTCTTCAAAGAGAACCATATGAATTCAAATGATGCATTGATATCATTCATACAACAATTAACAATATTTTCGTAATCAATTTCTTGAATTACAGGGAAAAGCAACTTAATTAACCGAGAAGAAAACATAAGATAATTAGAATCAAATGAATATTTCAAAATATTCTCTCTTTCAATTGCCCAAACATCTTTTGCCAATTCTTCGTTCAAAATCAATTTGAACAAGTGAATATGATATAATATAAGGTTTTCATCTAAGTTCCATTCGTTTGTATATTCATTTCGCTGCTTATTAACGAAAGAAAAAATAGAAGAAATAATTTCGTTGCTTTTTTGAACGAAAAGATCACCAAAATGGTTTAAATACCTTATAAAATCACTTAAAACATTAATATTATCAATTATATTGACTAAAGCTTCACAAATTATATCAGAATATTGGTTATCTTCAGTACTGATCGAAATATCAACTAAAAGATTGAGACATACTTGCGTCAAATCAATATATAAACAAGCTTTCAATTCAGTTACGCAAATTTTTGTTATTCTGTCAAGAATTTCTTTTTCTTGGAAAATTTCTTCTTTGTTTCTCAAGAAAACAGACAAAACTTTAAAGGAAGGGACAATCACTTTTGCCAGTTTGTTTTCTGATGTCGCTCCTGAGAAGACTGAGTAAGAAATATTATCATAATCAATTGAATTGAAAATAATCGGAAAAATTTCCGAAAAAAGGGAATTAATAAATTCATTTCCGTATTCACTCTCGCTTACAGATCTAATAAAACTACATGCAGTATAATAATATTCTTCATCGTCACTTTTCATCATTTCATTTACAAAAAGTGACAAAATATCAATAAAATTCATAATTTTTTCTGGTGACATTTTCAAAAGTGTGGAGATAAAATTTAGCATAGAAGGAGATATATCATTTATCTCGTTATCATGCTGTATCTTTTTCAGTATTATTTGGAACAAATCATCAATTAGATTCTCTTCCAATTTAAATGTCAATTTTTTCAATATTGCGGCAATAGTGTTGAAACCAACAATTGTTATAGAAATGTCTTGTGAATCTAAAAGTGGTAAAATGAATTCAAAGAAATCACTCATAAGATCATCACTCATTTCTCGTGATGAAACAATCAAAGGCAACAAGAAAATTGAATCATTATTTTCTGTTTTTTCGTAAACTTCAAAAAGTTTTTCCATTAAAAACCTAAAATCATATGAATTCTGGTCAATTTTCGCTTTCCCACCAAATAAATTCCATAAAAATGATATAACATAGTTAATCAGTAAAATTGAATCAGACGATAAAAACTCATTCAAAAAATTGAATAAATCGTCATATAAACCGTCAAAAAAGAAATTATTGTAATCGAAACCAGCAGTCAAAATCATCATGACTAAAATACACTTTGTTTCATCAACTTCTCCACTTAATAATTCTTGGATGTCAGAAAAAACATAATTTTTCGCATCTTCAAATTTAAAACGTGACAAAACCGTTTCAAAAGCAAATTCTGCAGCTTCAAAGTATTGGTCTTGTATTTTGGGTGATTCTGGGTTTGCTAAGACTGGTGTGCATTCAATAATCATATTCCCTATAATTGGAAAATTTTCTTCAGAAATTTTTGGTAAATTGTCACTTTTTAAAATTAAAGAAAAAATTTGAAGATGATGATAGAGTTGTAAATTGTTTTGTGGGTTTTGTATTTGCTGCAGTAAAGCATCGAAGACATCTGATGGGTAAATGAAGTCAAATCCGCGATGATGAGCTGTTTGTTCTAGTTTATCAAATAAATTTAAAATTTCTGTGTCATTTATATGCGAAAGAAAGAAATCTGTTAATATTCTGAGTATTCCATTATAATAATCTGTCTTTGTTTCGTCATTTCGGGCTTCTGAAACGATTAAAAATGATAATCTCAATGTATATGAATAAATTTCAGTATTTTCTTGAGATAAAGAGGAATTTATGAGATTATACATCAACTCCATGTTCTCTGAAATACTAGAATTAGGCAATATCGATAGTAAAATCGAATGAAAATAATCTGATGCTTGATATAGCTGAACGGCTGCTTGCAATATCATTTCGTCCATATTTTCAGCCATTGTAAGTGCATCAAGTGACATTAATAGTAAATTTGATATCTGTATATCAAATTTTGGAAAAATTTCTAGTATTGATTTCACAATTTCTTGTTTTGATTGGTTATTTATTGCATTTATATTGTTCTTGATTGTCTTTTCTAGGAAAATGCAGCATTGTATGTATAAATTCTCATTATTACTATTCAAAATCTCCAAAATTGGCTGAATTATATCAGTACTTTGTGTTGCATTGATCAATTCCTCTGAAACCTCTTCTATTCCTCTCCCATCTTGTCTATTTAGTACTTCAAATAGTGTGGAAAGTCGATCTGAATTCATTTATTAGGGAAAATAAACCGCAACCACTTTTTTTAATCACGATTTAAATATATAAATCGCGATTTTTTAGAAAAATCGCGACTTTTTTAAAATCGCGTTTTTAATGAATTGCGATTTTATTGTGGTCGCGATTTTTCAAAAAAATCGCGATTTATATGGAAAATCGCGTTATTGGTTCAATCTAAAGATCATTTGTAATAAACAGAAATTGATCAAAAGTGACAGCTCTCAATTTTTTGACATTTGTAAATTCTAAATTGAATGAGAAAAATGAAATAATACTAAGCATAATACAATATTCTAGATTTAATTATAATTAGGAAAAAGTTAGTTTTGAGAGTACTTTTCATAGGCATATAGAATGAAATCTTCTGAAAAATAATATCACATAAACTCATATTATTTTCTAATATATAACTATTTTATATAAAAATCAAATTCAATGATCTTAAAAGCGAAGGATAAACCTCAAAATTTACGAATATAATGAGTGGGAATATAATGCTTATCTATCATAAAACCATATGAAATATCAATTTTTGCTTTACGCCTAATTTTTGACGACAATTAGCAAAAAATGTTAAATGTTAACACTCAGTCCATTTGAATATGAAAAATAAAATTGACTTTGATTAAATGTTTTTATTTATCATGCAATTCTTCTTGCGACCAAAGATTTGAATAAAAGTTCAAAAAATAAGATAGCTTAAAAAATAATATACGGTAGTGTTTACTAATAGATGAATAGTATATAAATTCTATTAAAATGGATTTGATCCAAAAAAATATATAAAATTTGATCATAAATAAAATCGTTTTAAATTACTTCTTCATTTAAATTATAACAATTATTTTTGGTTTTATATTTTTTTGGATCAAATTCATTTTAATAGAATTTATATACTATTCATCTATTAGTAAACACTACCGTATATTATTTTTTAAGCTATCTTATTTTTTGAAATTTTAGTCAAATCTTTGGTCGCAAGAAGAATTGCATGATAAATAAAAACATTTAATCAAAGTCAATTTTATTTTTCATATTCAAATGGACTGAGTGTTAACATTTAACATTTTTTGCTAATTGTCGTCAAAAATTAGGCGTAAAGCAAAAATTGATATTTCATATGGTTTTATGATAGATTGTAATAAACAGAAATTCATCAAAAGTGACAGCTCTCAATTTTTTGACATTTGTAAATTCTAAATTGAATGAGAAAAATGAAATAATACTAAGCATAATACAATATTCTAGATTTAATTATAATTAGGAAAAAGTTGGTTTTGAGAGTACTTTTCATAGGCATATAGAATGAAATCTTCTGAAAATAATATCACATAAACTCATATTATTTTTCTAATATATAACTATTTTATATAAAAATCAAATTCAATGATCTTAAAGCGAAGGATAAACCTCAAAATTTACGAATATAATGAGTGGGAATATTTCATATGGTTTTATGATAGATAAGCATTATATTCCCACTCATTATATTCGTAAATTTTGAGGTTTATCCTTCGCTTTTAAGATCATTGAATTTGATTTTTATATAAAATAGTTATATATTAGAAAATAATATGAGTTTATGTGATATTATTTTTCAGAAGATTTTGTGTTCTTCTTCAAAATTTTACTTTTTTATTAAAAAGAATCTTTACAAAATATACATTTACTTTAATTAATATTTAAAAACGTGCTCTATCAAAAGTTCCAAAAATTCAATATTTTAGCTTTTCTGAGGTGTCACTTTTGATGAATTTCTGTTTACAACAATAAAAAATATAAATATAAGAATAAAATAAAAATTGTAATAAGAATGTTATAAAAAGTTTTTTAGATTTGAGTTGCCGATAGGCTTGAGCAAATGTATTTTTATTGCTAAAGGTTTTTTTGTTAGATTTATGTAATATTTTTTTAGTTAAAGGTAAATTATGATTAATTAGTGCAGTAAAATAAGACTTCAAGAATTTTGACCAGTAAAGTGGGATTGAGGTATTTGTTATCGAGATTGTTTGATTTTAGATCTCTGATTTCGGCAAGTATGCAGAAAAACCATATTGTGAGCAGTCTAAAATGGATAAACAGCCATTCTAGATTCAAAAAATCTTTGTGAATTGCTTTGTTATTGAGAAGTAATACAACCGAATCCCAAAACTATTTTTTTAAAAAAATTAATCGTATTATCAGAAAAAGTTCATATCGTTTTGTAATTATCAGAAAAGTATATCATTAAAACTTTAAAATCGTATAATAAAGTTAACAACAATTCTGTTTAGTAGCAAATATAATTCTGAAAGCATTCAAAAAAAATACACTAAAAAGTCAGTTGCAAATTTACTTAATTTGATTATAAATGAGAAAGGGACAGACTAGCCCATTGTCACTTTTTAATTTAGCAAATGAACGCTTATGGAGTGGAGTTTTTGGGTAAATCTGATTTGCTTATAAATGAAATAAAATCAAAAGAAACCATATTGGCATTATATTATGCAAAAATAAATGATCTTACTTAGTACTTTTAAAGTTTAATTTCAGAAAAAAATTTGACACAATGGTATCCGGCACATACAAGTGGTGTACAACCAAAATATAAGTTGGTTTAAACATATATTGCTATATCTCATGATCTTACTTAGTACTTTTAAAGTTAATTTCAGAAAAAATTTGACACAATGGTATCCGGCACATACAAGTGGTGTACAACCAAAATATAAGTTGGTTTAAACATATATTGCTATATCTCATGATCTTACTTAGTACTTTTAAAGTTAATTTCAGAAAAAAATTTGACACAATGGTATCCGGCACATACAAGTGGTGTACAACCAAAATATAAGTTGGTTTAAACATATATTGCTATATCTCATGATCTTACTTAGTACTTTTAAAGTTAATTTCAGAAAAAATTTGACACAATGGTATCCGGCACATACAAGTGGTGTACAACCAAAATTTCATATCCCTAGTTTTACATTTATGTTTAGTTTTATTTCACCTAATTTTCAAAGATCATAATTGAATTAGATGGCCAAGCTATTCAAAACACGACCAAGCTTATCAAAATAAGACCAATATATTCAAAATTCTTTATTCTTTCAAATCATTTCATTTTAATGCAGATCCAAGATCACGAACTCACATATATCGAGTTGCTTAAGTATGGAGTGCAACAAGAAATCCAAGCAGGTTGTAGTTATTCATATAAAACTAGGAAAGAAAGAAATCAAATCCAATTTAATTGTAAGTGGCCGAATTGTCCATGTCGCTTCCTTGTTGATACACTTCCCGATGACAAGTACCACATACGAAAATGTATTAACACCCACAATCATTCTGCCCCTTTTCCAAACAAATCACAACAAATTACATCATATTTTTCTAGATCTTATTTAACAAGATATTTTGAATCAAATCAAAACCGTGTTTACGCACAATTAAGGTGTTTCAAAGATCTTAATATCCCATTTGATAGTGGGATCATTCCGGAAATGTTTCAACAATCTACAGATGCTTTAAAAAAGTTTTCTAAACGCCTTCATGCAATCAATACCCGTTTCTCAGCGGATGATGTTACATCTCTTGCAGTTAGTATACAAGTCTTGGGTACTGTGGCACTGCGTTCCACTTTACCCAATACTTGTGAATTTGACACTTTACAAAACCGTTAACGTGTATTTTACAACACAAACGACAACACTAACTTAACCTTAAATATTTACAAAGCCGCCAACCACTTCACTTCACTAACGTTTTCACTAACGTTTTCACAAACGAACTCACTAATGTAAAAAATAAACGTTCTCACTATCGTTCTCACTAACGACTTCACTAATGTTCTCATAAATTTTCCTCAATATCTTCATCATCAGTGTTAACCCTATTGTAGTCATACTTGAAGCCATAAACTTTCTCTAACTTCTTAACGTACAATTTACATAACTTACCTTCGTCATCGTATGGTTTAATGATATAACTATTTCTATCTTTATACACAGTCAATGAAAAGTCAACTGGTCTCGGATGTATTTGAAAGAACATGTTATGCTCAGGAAGGAAGAATAAATGTTTAAATGTATGTTTGTTATATGTTTTGATTTGTATGAGTTGCTTTTGTTCTGTTTTATATAAAAATAAACTTAAAAATAAAATAAAAATAAACGTTGTCAGAGGTGAAAAAATAATGTTTATGTTAGAATGTTAGATCTAACACGTTTTCTAACACGTTTTCTAACCTTGTGAATTCATTACTTTATAACTCTCTTCCTTTCTCCAACTCTTCTAACTTCTTCTTAAGTTCAGCAATGTTGTCCTCATGAAGTTTAATCTTTCTCAAAATTCCTTCTCTATCTAATGGTTGCTTTATCTTTCTAAACTGAACTCTACCATCCTTCATAGTATGAACGTAAAAACCTTCTGGAATAGTTCCTGATTTAATGTATTCTACCAAAAATTTTTGTTTCATTGCTTCAGTGACTTTAGTCGTCATTTTACTCTAAATAAAATGTTCAAATAAAATAAAACTAACATTATTTTTTCAGTAAGGAAACGCAGGAGTTTTACGATTTATTTGAGGAGTAGGTTCTGGTTTAAATGTTGGAGTCGGTTTAGGAGTTGACTTTTGAACAGGAGTTTGTACTTCCATAGGTTCAGGAGTCATTGAAGGTTTTGCTTGTGAAGGTGTCGGAGTTTGTTTAACTTCAGCTACTTCAGTATTATTTATAACATTTGCTTTATTTCTTTTCAACATCATTACTGCTCCTGCTGTAGCTAGCAAACCTAGTGGGAGACCATATTTTATATAAGGACTTGACCAAATGCTATTTTTGACAGGAGCTGGTGGAACACCTAACCTTGGTGAGACTGCTCTTTGCCATTGTGCAGCTCGTAAGAAATATTCAATAGGTGCTCCATAATCGTTTGGTAAAGTTTGTTTCATAGATGGTGAAGGTTCACGAGAGCTTGATGAAGAACTCATTTATAAGCTTTAAAAATAAAC